TCTCTAAATAAATCATCATGTCTTCTGTGAATAGTGAAAGTTTCACTTTTCCAATTTTGATTCCTTTTATGTCTTTTTCTTGCCTAATTGTTTCAGCTGGGACTTCCAGAACTATGTTGAATAACAGTGGTGACAGTGGGCGTCCCTGCCTTGTTCCTGATCGCAGTGGAAATACTTTCTGATTTCCTAAGTCTGGCTGTGCAGATTCACACCTAGTAGGTCCCACTGTGCTGGAGATGGGCTCATGGCCACTGGCTCTGGGCAGGGCAGCTTCACCCTGCTGTTGAGGATAATGAAGCCACAGCAGCTGTGCTGGCCTCCATGAGTGGGCACCCAGCATGTCCTAAGCATTTTCCTTACGTTACTTAGTTACTCTTCTCCAGGACCCACTGTGGAAGAGGCTGTTAGTGTCTCAGTGTCACGGGAGCCCAGCGTTCTCACGAAATGTGCTGAGGGTCATAGCTGGGAAGGCAAAGCAGGGGTCAGATCCCAGTTCATCTGCCTTAGAGGACTCTACTGGAATGAACAAGCATTAAAGTCAGGGCAGGCAAGAGAGTGGGGTGGTGAGAGGAAGGAAGTGGTGGATGTGGAAGTAGCTCCTCTCAATGGATCTTCATAACCCTCTCCCAGGCTAGACCTTTGGGACTGCAGCTATGTCAAACTAAGCAGTACAGCTGTTTTTGTCTAATGGAGGGATCTTCTCAAGCTCCGGAGGCTCTAATGGGACTGGGACAAGATCTGGGAAAGGGGAAATGATGTGGGAAGACACACTGTGCGTGGTGAGGAGATCATAGCCTGAAAGCCAGGGTCATGTTTTTTTGTTTGTTTGTTTTGTTTTGTTTTGTTTTAAGATTTATTTATTCGTAGAGAACTGGGGTACAGGCCAGAGATGCAGAGGGTGAAAGGATTCACCAAGGACAGAGTGGGGAGCAGAACAGGTCGACGAAGTACACTGCTGAGGGGAGCAGTGGGCGGGTCAGGAGAGGTCTGCCGTGCCATGTGGTCACCTCTGGGGCAGGCGGAGATCGAACTCATTCGGAAGTGGCTTTAGCTTCTTTGTGCTCTACTTTAACCCTCTGCGCCACCAGGGAGGACCCATGGGTCATGGGTTTTAATCCCTGTTCTGCTTCTGGCCATTTAGCCTCAGATAATACATTTCCTTTGTGGACCTCAGTTTTCTCATGTCTAACATGTAGCTACCTGATTTCCAGCTATGATCCTGTGGTTTTAGTCTTGCATGTTCAGATGGGACCCTAGGGAGAGGAGGCAGGAACACTTAAGAGGGGGGTCATTGGGAGGAGGGTACATAACATCAACATACTAGGGAATTACCAAGCAGGCGATCCCTTAAAAGGACAAACGCGAGGCTCCCGCCTTCTGCCCAGGCCCTTCTCTGTGCGGACAGCACTTCCTGTTTGGAGGTTGTGTATCTCCTTTCCCTCCTCTGCATACTCAGAGACATTAAAGCTATTTGATGACATGCATGCTGCGGCACTGACCAATCAGAGCAGTCGTGGCCGTGACAGCTGGTATGAGATGAACAGGATGTGCCAGCTGTATGATTATCTAGTCCTACCCCTAATTCCGCCTGGTAAAATCTGGCTTAGGAGCCAAGGAAGGACAAGGAGGGAAGCCGGGAAACAAAAAGTTGAGGAAGTGAAATTGGGAAGAGAGTTCACAGGTCCTTCAGGGCATCTGCCCATCATCCCACCCTAGAACTACACCCTGCCCACAGCCGAGCCTCCCATGGGGTGAGGACTTCCCTTCCCACACACTGTGCCCACGAGACAGCAGGCTTGCTACCAACTGGGCTGCAGTGCAGAGGCTGATGAAACAAAGGGGACCAGACCTATATTCTGCAATATCATCCTAACTGGAGACTGGACTGGGGAGTCCCAAGGCAGTTGACCCCTACCTGCCTGAAGAATAATATTTGTCTATGCCAGACTGTGTTTCTCAGTGGCATATACTGTTTGTAGTGACAGTCAGATCCGGGATTTATCTCACCCACTCTTGGCTGTTGACCACAGAGTCCCATAGAAAGCAGAAAGCCTCCCTTCCTCTCCCATTTTCCTCAGATAGCCTCCTCTTCTAGATCTTCATCACCATGGACCAGTGCCAGGACTGTTACTTAGCACATTGACTGCATCTACTACCGCCAGCTTCAGGAACTATTCCCTTGCTGTTTCCTTCAAAGATCCCCAATTGCTTTTGCATCACAAAAATTAAAGCAAAGATTACAGGAAGCAAAGATTACAATCAACATGTCTTAACTGACTGGTAAAGACCTCTGCTCCTTTTCCATGAGCACCGATTGTTTTGGCCAAGAAATGTTTATTGAGTGCCCACTAAGAACAGGCATTTTCATAGCTGTAGAAATGGTGTGTGATGGGGAGTGTCAAAGAATCTGGAGGCATGGCCCTGTCCTCAAGGAGTTTTGCCATAGCTTTGGAAAGCCCATTTGTAAACACAAAAAAGATGACCAATAACACAAGCTGACCTTGGATACTGTGTTATTTAAGGCTCTTCATGGTCTATTAAAACATTTATCACAAAGTTTATAAAGAAAGATAAAATAGAACTGGTAACCATTCTAGAACACATAGAAACATATTATGATTTATATGAAAGGCCAGATCACATTAGACTAAGTTACTAGCCAGAGTAGGGTTAAGAGTTTAATATACAACAGTACAAAGTTATCTTGGGTTTACCAGGAACAAGTTATGCCACAAGCTTCTTATCTTTTTTGGATAAGGTTCTAGAACTTAGTTGAAGAGGATGTCTTACAATTAGCATTTCTAGAATTCCGTAAGGCTTTAGAAAAAATCTAAAATGGGGCTGGATAGAAAAGAGGGCTAGGGCCTCCTTGGTGGTTCAAGAGTTAAAGACAGTGCTGTCAAGCTATCTGCCACCACTGCAACATGAGTTTGATCCCCGGCCAACCAACCGGGGAGCTGACCCACATGGCACAGCACAACTCTCCTGTCTCTCCTGCTGCTTCCCTCAGCAGTGGATTTCAGTAGATCTTCCTTTTCTGCTCTCCATTTGTCTCTGGTGAATCTTCTCACTCCCATACCTCTGACCTACACCCCAGTTCTTGTATGCATAAATACATGTCTTTTTTTTTTTTTTTAAGAGGGCTAGGTAAGAGCATGGCTAAGGACAGTCCCCTGAGAGTGCTAATCACTAGTTCTTTGGCCTCCCAAGAGAGATGGCTGTGTTGTCTGGGTCTGTCTTAATCCTTGTTGTGCTCAACAGTTACAAAATGGTGTGAATACAGGTTAGGGACACACTCTGATCATTCTGTTAATGTCTCAAATGTAGGAGAAACAGCTTATTAGGAAGATTCAAAAATACCTTGCCCCTTTCCATATATATAGGATATGGACCTAAAGAATTGAAAACAGGGACATCAATAAATATTTGTGTTCCCATTTTTATGCCACCATTATTCATAATAGCCAAAAGGAGGAAGCAACCCAATTATTTTTCAATATATGTAGCCTATCCATACAGTGGAATATTACATAGCTTTAAAAGGAAGCAAGTTCTGAGATATGCTACCTGTAGGAACCTGAAAGACATTATGATAAATTAAATAAACCATTCGCAAAAGGACAAGAGCCACATGTTTCTACTTGCCCAGGTACTCAGAGTAGCCAAGTTCATAGAGACAGAAAGTAGAGTGCCAGCCACTGGAACTGGTGGGGGAAAGGAATGGAAAATTATTGTTCAATGAGGACAGAGTTTCTACTTTGCAGGATTATAAAGAATGATGATGGATGGTGGTAATATTTGTACAACAACATGAATGTATGTAATGCCTCTGAAATGCATACTCAAATGGTTCAAATGGTAATTTTGTTACATGGATTTTAGTACAGTTTAAAAAAATCATGACCCACAACCTGTGATGTAATATTCACAATGATAACAGTCCAATCCTGTTTCTTCCCAAAAGTCTAAGTTGCCAAATACTATGACACAGCAGCACTGTGGGTAAGCTATCGTCTCTCTACTCAACTGGGAGAGGTTATATGAAAATATGTTTAGGGCCTAGTGGTCAAGGGCAGTCTGTGTAGAGATGGGCTTCATCTATCTAGTAGTGACATCAAAGACTAGGACAAGTGTCCCTCTTAAAGTTGACTGTCATTGAACTAGTCCATCACAGAGGTAACCCTAACCCTTTCTGTTTTAGTGACCACCCTACTGTTGGGTTTCCATTAGCTCTGGTGATCTCTGGCCAGAGTGGCGCTTTCTGCTCTTGGTTGGTGCTGATGTGCTAATCGAACACCAATCCAATAATTGGTACCATTTCCTCACCCAAGGTTCACACTAATGACACATCCATCCTTCTCAAAGGAGCATGAACCCATGCCCTATTGATGTTTTGTATTTGCCCAGACATTCCTGGTTATAGTAGACTGGGAATAAAACGGCAGTAGTAACTGAAGATTTCCATCCTCTACTCCCCTGAAAGCCCTGATCATATCATTAGCTTGCTGTCTTCACTGAGCTTCAATCCTTCCTTTCCACTGTTGAAAACTATCACTCAACTCCTTCCCCCCAAAAAAAAGAAAAAAGAAAAACAACAACAACAACAAAACAACCTTAGAAGGAACCAACTGAGTGGAAACGGATTTTCTAAAGGACAGGAAATTGGATTCCCATCTGCACAGTCATGGAGAGGGTAAGATGAGTGCTAGCTCTGACCTGGAGGTCACACTCTGTGACTGCAACCCTCCTTCCCTGGCACACAAGACAATCTGAAGGTGTTTGTGGCAGATAGCTCTTCTGTGGAGGGCTTGGTCAGAAGGGCATGTAAATATTTTTAAAGGGGAGGAGCTGGAAGAAAAGTTGTGGGAAAAGGGAAGGAGCCTTAATTATTGTATTGAGGGCTCCTAACAGTTGAGCAAAGAACTTAGGGTGGCAGAGTGACTGCTGCCGCCATGAAGCTGATGTGCCTGACCACCCGCTGTGCTCTGTTTCCCTGCCAGATCACGATGAGGACCTAGGGCATCTGCCTGCTGACTGTCCCCCTGGCCTACAATGACCATGGCCCCCCGCAAGAGGAGCCGCCATGGCCTGGGCTTCCTGTGCTGCTTCGGGGGCAGTGACCTCCCTGAGATCAACCTCCGGGACAACCACCCTCTGCAGTACATGGAGTTCTCCAGTCCTATTCCGAACCCAGAGGAGCTTAACGTCCGCTTTGCAGAGTTGGTGGTTAGTGAGGGGCAGGTGTGGGTGGTGGACACTGTGGAGGCAGAGTAGGATTCTTTAGGTTGATACCAGGTCACTGTGAAAGGGCATGGCTCATTAAAAATACTGGGGGAGATGTTTGCATGACACTTGGATGCTAGCTCAGAAATGGGGTGATGATGTCTAGCCTAGGACAGGTGGAAGCTCTGTGCTTCACCTGATAGCAGTTCTCCCTGGCCCTCTGTGATGCCCCCAAGACTGTAGTATACCTTTGTGAGAACCCCTACCGTGTGGAATTTCAAACTCTTGCTGCAGAAACAGAGCAGGAAAGACTGATTCCACTCTCTAGAGGTCTGCTGGGAGATAGAGCTTGCACACCAAGGGAGGTCCCAGATCAGGGCTACAGGGCACAGGCTAGAATCCTGTCATCAAGTGATGACCACAGTTTCATTGGTTTGTTCTTGGTCACTCGTTCTTATGATTGGCTAATAATTTAATCAGTGGAGAAACAGCGTTGTGTGCCTTAGAATGGGGATTCATACTTGAATTTGATAATTTGGCTTCAAATTGGGATTGTCCTACAATCCCACCTTCAAGATTGTTGATTTGCAATAAGGACTCTGGGATATACTTTACTTGTTATTTATTACCAGTCTATGGTCTAAAAAAAAAAATCGCAAAGGATACAAATGAATAGCCACATGAGGGGAATTCTTAGGGTAAGTCCCAGAAAGGTCCTGAGCACAGGAGTTTCTGATCCATTGGCGTTTGGGTACATGTGAATATGAATGTATCTGCCTACCTGGAAGCTCTCTGAACCTAATCATTTAGAAACTTTCATGGAGTTTTCATCACGTAGGCATGACAGATTTTAATTCAATCTCCAGCCTCTCCTCTTCTTGGAATTTGGGGGCAGGGTGGTGGGATGAAAGTTCTAGGCTTCTAACTGAGGTCTGATCTTTCTGGTGCCTAGCTCCCATATAGAAACTATTGAGAGTCCTACCAAAGCAACAAAAGAGGTTCCTGTCTCCAGGAAATTCCAGGGGATTTAGGAGCTTTAAGTGAGGAACAAAATGTACTCCTATCACCCAGGAAATTCCAAGGGATTTAGGAACTCTATCCTAGGAACTGGGGATAAAGATCAAAGTACATTTCTTAAAATATAGCCAGGGGCGTTTTCTGTTTTCATTTCTACTGAGGTAACATTCATTCATAATGTTACAGGGGTCTAGATTACAAAGGTCTAGGGTTTTTTGTTTTTTTTTTTTTTAACCTCGGCATCTGTTTATATCATGCCAACCCTAAATTTGGGGACATTTTCTTGAACAGAGGGCTTGGATTTTGAATTTTGAAAGAAGATTTCCTTTCTAGTCTTGTATTCAATAAGCATTTGTTGAACATCTTCAGTGGGCTGGATTCCTTGCAAGGTACTTTGGCCAAAGCAAGAGTGATTCAGACGAATCTTGTCTGCAAGGAGACTAGTGTGAGGTATGAGGTACAAATGATTAATATCTCTTCACACTGCTGTGTGCTGACCCTGAGGAGGGTCTCAGGGATTTAGTGATGAGCCAATAGGCACAGTTTCTGCTTCTAAGAAAGCACAGTCAAATAGGGAAGGCTGATTTTGTTTTTTACCCTTATTATTTTATGATGAAATATATTATGAATATTCCCAATGTGCCAAGAAGTTGCAAGAACTTTTCAATGAATACCTATATTTCACCATGTAAACTATTCTTAAGTTTGTTATATGTCTTTTATAAATTAGGTTACATCAAATCCAAGTGCTGTTTTCATGGACTAAAAAGAATAAAATATTGGCAGATGTCACAGGAGAGACTACAATAGCAGTGACAAGTGGGGTGTTTGGAAAGTGGACTGTGTAGCATTATCCAAAAGGTCTCCAGCATTTCTCTGAACAGGGACATTTCCACTGAGATCTGAAAACATGGTGGCAGTTAGAAAAATGAACTAGGGTGCTTAACAACAACAGGGGTACCCTAGAACAAGAAGCAGCATACGTGACAATCTCAAAGAAGAGCTGGGTCCTTTTGAAGGACCCCATGAAGACAAGAGTAAGGAGTGATAGATAGCCAATGAGGCTCTAAGCAGGGTTTTAAGTTGATTCAATCTGCTTTTCTGAAATACTATTTGGGGTACACTGTTGAAGAAGTGTAGACGATTGGTAAGCTATTGGTGTAATCTAAGCTAGAGAAGATGATGACTTGGACCAAAATGTTAGCAGTGAGGGTAGAGGGAAATTGACAGATAAAAGGGATATTCAGAAGAAAACAAAATAGGACCTGGAAGGGTGGGTGAGTGAGTAGGAATTAAGGAACAACCAGGCTTTTGACAGGAAGAACCGGGCAGATGCAAATTACATACAGAGGCAAATTACACTTAGATTACTTGAGATGATGAACTCAAATTTGCATATTCTTTCTGTGTATCATTTTTTTTTATCTGTAAAATGAGTTGTTGCAAATTTTAAATAAATGAGTAAATATCAAGCACTTAGAATAGTGTCTAGCACATAGTAACACCACATAATATGGTCAGGTACCCCAATTCTGATAGATACACAAGGGCCCCAGGGTCTGGAGCTCAGGAGACTGGTGGAGATACAAGTTTGAGAGAATTTAGCCTAATAACTGAGTTTTCAGGAATACTTAACTGGGCTTCACCTAAGGAAGAATAGAGACAGAGACAGGAAAGAAGATCCTGGCCAGTTCCCTGATGACTTCAACACTTGATGGTCCTAGAGTAGAGAAGTCATCAAGGAAGCCCAGGAGGAACAGAGGGGCGCAGGTTTCTAAGAGTGTGGTTGTCAAAGAAACCAAGGAAGTAGGATTCAGTAAAGAGTGAATGATTGGCAGAGACAGACTCCCTCAGCTGAGCATACCTGTCAGAAAGTGTCCACTGATTTAACCACAGAGTTTGGCAAGAAAAGACATATGCACACATGACCATAATACAAGGTTGAATGTAACCGCATTGGAGTTCAGGACGAGAGAAGTGTTCTTGCCTGGGAAGATCTATGGAAGATTTGCTGGAGAAGACCAACTTAGAACTTTGGAATTGGTCCAGGTCCACTGAGTAGATGGGAAAGGAGGGCAGTCCAGGTGGACTAACTGTGGAAGCCAAGTAGAAGAAAAGCAGAGTTTGTGTAGGGAAGTATAAAGTGCATATCACTCTATTTCTTTCACTTCTAATCCTGACCATGGAAAAGATTTGCTGCACATACCTTAAGCAGGGTTCTGAGGATTCTGACCAAGGAGCTTCCTGAGATATGTGGAGGGTGGTTCTAGAGTACTAGTGCTCTTTGTTGTGCATTAGATCTACAGGAGTCTTTAGTTCCAGAGTCAGGTAAACTGGTGGACATTGTTTCAAATCATCTTTGTGTGTTGTCCAAGATGGTGGCCACTTGTGACCTGGAGTTGCTGAACACTTTTTGAAATGTAGCTTGTATGAACTTTGGTGAGCTGCAAGGGTGAAATACACAACAGATCTGATGATTTAATTTGGGGGGGAGGGAATAATATAAATATCTCAGTGACAATTTTTTATATTGGTTACATGTTGAAGTGATCATATTTTTGATATTTTGGATGAAATAAAATGTATTATTAAAATTAACTTTACCTATGTTTTCTTAATTTTTTAAATGCAACTGGAAAACTTTTTTGAAATGTATATGGTTCATTTTATACTTATGTGGTTCATTTTATACTTATGGGGTTCATTTTATACTTCTGTTGGACCTTTCCATTTTAGGCGAAGGAAAGTCTTAAACATTTTCCCTTGATAACAGTATAGGCAAAAGAGTAGAGGTGGTGCGATTTAAGATCCCTATTCTCTCCTAAGTAGTACTTTCACTCTTCATATCATTTTAAAAAGTGTAAATATTAGTAATGTTACTTTTTTGTCTTATTGTGACTTTTGCTTTTGATTAAAGAAACAAAACAAGAAAAAGCAACCTTAGAGTAATTGAGTTGAAAACCACACTACATTTCCCAGGATCCATTAACCATTTCCTTGATGAGCCTGGCTTCATTTATCCATCATAGGAGATTAAAGAAGATAAGCTTTTAGGTATCATCCAGCATGGCCAAACCTATAAAATCACCCAAACTTCCTATAGTGTCACTCTAAATTTGATGACCCCAGATGATTTACTATTCTATTTCTCTAAAGAGTTGGGCTAGCTGGGTGATATCCCTGTCTATGTACAGAGTCTTGCTTTTGTGGTGCTGGTTTGGGTGGAGGGACCAAAACTGGCAAGCAAACCTCTGTGGGAAATAGATGAACACTTCCCTTAGTGTGGCACATCCTTCCTGCCAAGATATTTTTTCTCAGCCCCTCGCCCTCACCAGTATTCTCCAGCCTATAGTAAGACCTATCCTGATGGGGGGAAACCAGAGAATATCTGGGAGAGTGGCTCCTAGGCAGAGAGACTTGAAAATCTGTTAATATTGGATCTGTAAGTGGACTCCTTTCTTTGTTAGCCTTGACTTATGGTGTTGACAAGCTTAAGGGCAAGAGAAGGAAGAGATGAAATTCTGGGCAAGAGGAGTCAAGGCTAATGAAGCAACACAGAGGATGGGCAGGGAACACTGGATCTGGAGGAGCAGGATGGGAGGCAGAGACAAATATTGGGATGGGCAGGCAGTATGAGAAGCGTGTATAGAAACAGCACAGGCTTGAGCTGAAGTAAGTGGGTGGAAGAATGGGACTGTGTGTCTTCCAGAACGAATTATTCTATCTTATATGTGTTGCTCTTTGAAAGGAAGGTAATAAAGGTTGAGGGAACTGTAATTTCCTGTAGGACTGAATACTCTAATATCAACCATCTCTGGGTTTTAGATGTATTATTTCTTGTCGTTTTTGCAGGATGAATTGGATCTCACTGACAAAAACCGGGAGGCTGTGTTTGCACTGCCTCCTGAGAAGAAGTGGCAGATCTACTGCAGCAAGAAGAAGGTGCCATCTCTGACCCCTCTCACTGTCACCCCAGGGTCCCCAGCATGGGCAGCTCTGGTCTTCATGCTCACTCATTCATTGAACAAATATTTATGACACCCCAACACTGTTATAGGCTAGAGGAACAACAGTGGATAAATCTGGAGAAAAAGAATTTCTGTTCTCATGACTCTGTGCAGGGAAATAAGATTCTGTCTTTCAAAATCTCTTTAAGCAGGTACCCCTAAGTTCCAGAAGTGGTGCTAGTACAAAGCTGACAAACCTAAACTTCCTTTGTATGTCCATGTGTGGAGGGCATGCTTGCCTGGGCTATGCCTGGAGGCACCTTTGCTGAAAGGCCTCAGTGTTTTTGCTTTGAGTGGGGGTTTCTTCTGGATCTTTAGCATCAGGCCTGCCGAGGCTCACATGTCATCCTTCCCATGTGCTCTTCCTCTCCTCACAGTGTGGGTCTCTGGCCTGTAGGTCTCCTTAGAAAGGGGTGAATCACTCCAGTCAGGGCTACATTGTATTTGAACAAATCTCCCCCCCACCCCAACAAACTTTCTCTGCTTTCCCCCATCTCCCTCCCTCCCACTCTAACTCTGTCTCCTCAGCTCATCTCTCTGTGTCTCATTTGACACCTGTCTATTCTAGCCTTTCTGTTCTCTTATTGTGCTTGTCCTCCATCCTCTCAGTGTTCAGTGCAGAAGCTTGTTCCTTTGACCTCCGGTCCCTGAGGTCCTGCACATGAACTCAGACCTGCTCTCCCTGGGAGAAGACAGTCAAGTCTGGGTGGGCTTTGAGATGTTTCTCTTTGTGTTCCTTGGCACTTCTCATGACTCTTTACTTACTCTTCTCACTCTAAATTTGTGTTCCATCAGGGCTCCATGCCAAGTCAGAATGACCTTATGAAGTTGGGGCTCAGGTTCTCAGGCCATGGGCCTCTCTAACCAACTGGTCTACAACCCCTTTTCTTGTTTCAGGAGCAGGAGGACCCCAACAAGTTAGCGACCAGCTGGCCTGACTATTACATTGACCGCATCAACTCCATGGCAGCGGTGAGAGGCCACTTCTCCCTGCCCAGAACTCTACCCTGAAAGGCAATAGGTTTGGACTAACCTCCCTCAAGTGTCCCTGCATCTCACCCCCACACACTGGGACTCAGCAGCTCTCTGTGATTCTAGAGATCTAACCTTAAACTTTCTTCCTCTGTGACTTTAGAGTCCCACAACCATTTGAACATTTATTAACCATTTGTATATCACATACGCTTTGGAAGCTGGCTGGATCAACAATTCTTCCCATTTTACAGATGAGGAAAATGAAGTCCAAAGCCAGAATCTGGGCCTCCTCAGAGTCTGATTCTGTCTTCCTGAGGATAGGGCAGGCCCTAAAACACACTGAATCAGGATTGTGGGGGGTTAGGAGGGCAGGAACCCCAGTGTGACTTCTGTCATTCTGACTTCTCAGATGCAGAGCCTGTATGCATTTGATGAGGAGGAGACAGAGATGAGGAATCAAGTCGTGGAAGACCTCAAGACGGCTCTCCGGACACAGCCCATGAGGTAACTTATTCTGTTCCCCTTCTCTCACTGGCACCCACATCTTTTCATCTTTTCCCACACTCCCACTCTCCAAGTAGCTGGGAGGCTGAGGGAGTAGTTATGTTGAAAAAGAAGGGAAATGAACATAGGAGAATTTTATAAACCTCAGACCCCAAAGATCTATCTGGAGAGAAATTGAGGGTCGGTGCTTGTTTTTCTTGAGAGAATGGAACAGAAGGGAAAGTAACCAAAAGGTCAAGGTATATAGGAAAGAACTTTATGAGAATGAGAATGTGAGTAATAAATACTCCAGCCACTAGGGGGAGATATGGTGTCTATGGATGAGATGTCTGCCTTGTATGGGAGCATGGGCCTGGAAAAGGTGATGGATGCCTTCAGGGCCATAGGAAGACAGTAGCCTCCCTAGACCTCACTGTGCCAGGGTTCCAAGAGGGGGGAGTGCCACAGACATCTCTCGTGTCTGGAAAAGACACCTACCAGCTTCTAGTTGTTGATTGTTAAATCAGACATTTTGCAAGTTGGTTGTCAAACATAATAACCATAAATATAAATAAAATATAAAGTAGATCAAAAACAAAGGTAATGAATACTTGAAAATGATCACTCCCATATTACCTAATGATTACCTACATTCTTTCCTGTGTCCTCTGTATATATACAAGGGAGCTGTGTAAATGATGCATCTCTTTTCAACTCCAAGGTCAGTGATGCCATATTGCTAACTTGAAATAGATTGTGCTGAGAATATTTATTCAATAAAAATTGATAAATTCTAAAGTCAAGTCTGTGCATTCTATCTCTAGAGAGCAGTTGTTAAACATCTCAGTCTATGTGTGTGTGTTTGGGGTGGGGGACCAGTGGTGGGAAGGAGATGCTGGAAGTAGACCATTTCAGGGGAGGCTGTCGAGTTTATCTGCCATCTCAATTTATTTTTCTTTCCCTTAATAAAATTCTAATAAGAAAATGCACACATAGCCACTGTGAAAAGTTTATAGAATATAGAAAAGCATACAATTTGAGAGTATATTCTACCTTTCTGGTCCTATCTACAATAACATAGGAGTATAAGACATGCACTTGGAAATAAATGCATTAATTATATGCAGTTGTTCCCTCAGCTCCATTTGTGACATTTCTTCAGGTCATCAATTTTTCTATTAAATTGAGAGTTCGAAGCCTTTTTATGTATGTGTGTGCATGTGTGATGGGGATTCTAGAACCCAAATGAAACATAAAGACTAGTTATCAGAATAATGCTTTGAAGTAATAAAGAACAATTGATCCTTGAACAATATGGGATTGACCTGTGGGTCATTTACACTTGGATTTTTTTCTATCTGAGGGATCCTTATTCACGGTTTCAGCTAATCTTAGATACTGGGTGGCTGGCTTTGCAAAAGCCTATATATCTGAGAGCCAACTGTAAGATATATTCAGATTTTTGACTATTGGGGAGTTGGTGTCATTTGGGGTCAACTGGAGATAAAAATAGATGGATTAAAAAAAAACTAAATTGAAATAGTTACCAACTATTAAAAATTGTGAGATAGCAATAAATGTACTTCTTTATGCCTTAAATAGCAAGAACTAGCAACCACCATGGTTTTGAAGTGCTGATGAGTGTAAATGATATTTTGAGATACCAGTGACAACTGTAATTTGATATGAAAATAGCTGTGATTTCTTTGGGTGACAAAGTCACAGATTATGTTAATAACACTGTCATTTATTGCCTCTATTCATCATCAAGGGAAATGTTAAGTTTCAGTTAGACATTTTCAAAAATAAAGCTGTAATTTTCCTTTCTCATCCAAGTTCATGGATGGTTATGTCTCGGATATAGACCCTCAAGGGGAATGTAGACTCAAGACTAAGAACCCCTGAACTAAATGACATTTAATGATTTCTGCTAACAGTCAAGATAACTCAGCTATTTTCTCTTTTTTAAAAAAATTAGATTTATATATTTATTTATGCTCAGAAAAACTGGGGTTTAGGGGTAAGAGGATTCACCAGAGATAGAGTGGAGAGCAGAACAGGCAGATCTACTGAACTACACTGCTGAGGGGAGCAGCAGACGAGACAGGAGAGGGCTTATTCTGTCTGCTGTGCCATGTGGGTTGGATCCCTGGCTGGGGATCGAACTCAGGCCATGGCGGTGATAATGCTGAGACTAAACCCTATTCCTACCAGGGAGGCCCTCATCTGTTTCCTTAAGGACCTTCCCATCCTTGGTTCCTTGACTCAGTGATTCCATTCTGTTTAGAGGTCCTCCTTGTCATCTGACTGTCATTCTTTGAATCCTCATCTTTGGTGGAGAAGAGTTTTCAGGTTTAATAACCATGGTAATTATTGTGACTCTCCCCACCCCATACACACTATCATAGATGCCACTGATAGTCAGTGACATGCAAATGCATGGTACTTAAAATGCAAATAAGATGCCACACTCCTGTGAGACTGATAGGGTTTTAGTGCTTTAGATGAGCCTTATAAATTAAATGGGGTTGCTGTGCTTGGGGTGTTGCAGAAACATGTCCAGAATAACATGGGTGCATGGGATACCTATTTCTAATGGTAGGTTTGTGACCCGCTTCATCGAGCTGGAAGGCTTGACCTGTCTGCTGAATTTCCTCCGGAGCATGGACCATGCCACCTGTGAGAGCCGCATCCATACCTCCCTCATTGGATGTATCAAGGCTCTGATGAACAACTCCCAGGGACGGGCGCACGTGCTGGCACAGCCCGAGGCCATCAGCACCATCGCACAGAGCTTGCGCACCGAGAACAGCAAGACCAAGGTGGCCGTGCTGGAGATCCTGGGTGCTGTGTGCTTGGTGCCTGGCGGCCACAAGAAGGTGCTGCAGGCCATGCTACACTACCAGGTGTACGCGGCAGAGAGGACACGCTTCCAGGTGAGGGGCCTAGCAGGGGAAGGGGTCCCAACCAGAATGGGACCTGTTGAATACTCAGGGAGAAGGACTAAGGATTCTGTGTAAGAGAAAGTGGGGAAGAAAGAGAGGGAATGCATACCCACTGCTAGAAGGTAATGGACAGGGAGTAATGGGATCCAGAGGGAGTTTATTGAATGATGTGTCTTAGGAGATATGGATTTAACTGGGAAAGAAAATGTGTCTCTAGACCAGGTTCCTTGGGGTGGCAATATTGGTCTGCTTCATTTTGTAACTGCATCTCTGAGTCTAGCGCCCAACTCATTAGGCTTAAGAAAGAAAATTGAATTGACAGCAGTTGCTGGAGTCAAGGTTTTAGGGCTCAAACCTGGGCGTGTGTCTCCTATGGGGCTCCTGAGACCAGCCCTGGGAGCTCAGGACAGGCTATTCTTTTTTGTCCCCCATGACCTGCTCTAGGAAAGTAATGTGATAGATAACAAATATCAAGTGTCTAGGCCCAGATTAAGTCTCAACAGATGGGAAGTATTATTACACACACTGTTTTACCCATCAGTATAGAGTAAATACTCTGTCATCAGTCAGTTTTAAACCATCCACTGTGTGTAGAGAGCAGCTTCTGACCATTTGCAAGAGATGCAAAAGGAATATAAGGCAGCGTCCATGCTGCTAGGAGCTAAGCAGGGAGCACAGACTAGCAGCAAACATCGGGAGTGCAACCCAGTCCAACATATCATCCCAGCCCTAAAGACCAAATGGCACAGAAGTCAGGCAGGCCTGGGCCTCAGGTTTGAAGAGGCAAAAATGTTTCTTGGAAGAAGCCAACACTAGGGGAAGGCCAAGATGAATTGGATAGTTTGAGTAGAGAGAATGAATGGGGCATTCCAGGGAATCTGGTCAGGAACTGAAGCCTCGCAGTCTGGACTTAAAGGATGATGAGCCCTGCTAATCTTTCTGTCTTGCCTTTTCATCCAGACACTGCTAAATGAGCTAGACCGAAGTTTGGGCCGATACCGGGATGAAGTGAATCTGAAAACAGCCATCATGTCCTTTATCAATGCTGTCCTCAACGCAGGGGCTGGGGAGGTGAGGCCTTGGTCTTGACGCTTTGGAATTGGGTAGTGTGTTTGGGTGCTTGTTGGGAAAAATGTGCCAGTATATCTGGCTGGTGTGCTAGGGCATCATTTCCCGGTGATCTTTGTCATGGCACTGCCCTTTCATGCCAATACCTAAGAGAAAAATCGTAAGAAACTTACAGGCAGTGAGGCAGTAAATAATGAAGTAAAAGGATGTCTCCTAACTTCACTGGAACTCTGAGACTTGAAGCAGCTCCAAGTGAATTTGCTGTTGGTGATGTGGGATGTCTGCAATCATGACAGGGAAGGGCTCCCTGGGATTCTGCTGGAAATTAACGTCAGCTAATGAGTCTGTCCTTGGTAACCCCCAGGATAACTTGGAGTTCCGCCTGCATCTACGGTATGAGTTCCTGATGCTAGGGATACAGCCTGTGATTGACAAACTCCGGCAGCATGAGAATGCCATCCTGGACAAGTAAGGCCCAAGCTACCTGTTTCTACTAAAGATTCATGAGGACAGTGTCCTGGTGGGAGATGGTTAGGACCTTTATGGAGACCACCCTTCCCAACTGCCATACCCACCAGCAGCAATCAGCTCTCCTACCCCTTCCCCATCTTACCTGTCCTCCTTGAAGACCCGCTGTCTCATCTGTAATAGACAGGTAGGCCTAGAAGTATTTAGCCATGATTTTAATGCTCCTGGGGCTGTAGAGACACAAGTGGGGATGCCATTTTGTTTTTATGCTCATTGGTGGTTATTGGGGACCCAGAATGCTAAATAACTGCATTCTTCTGTTCAAGAAAAGCACTACCCCAAGTATAATCCATAAAGGCTCTTATGATCTAAGGGCACAATTAAATTTTTTGTGTTACCAGAGGATGCCTCTGGTTCCATTCCATTAGCACAGGCGATTTTATGAACACCGAGTCTTAAGATATTGGGTACTTTTAAGGTGAAGTTATGGGATGGATGGGAGTTGGAAAGGAGGGAAGGATTGATTTCAAAGGGTGACATGTTAACAGTCTGAGAACAATAGGGAAGGTAGATATACAGTGGTCCATGATGGGGGTGACTTTATCACCTAGGGGCCACTGGGCTATGCCTGGAGTGATTTTTGGTTGTCATAAATGAAAGGGTAGTATTGCTACTGGCCTTTGGGTAGGGGCTTGAAGTCAGAGATGCTGCTGAATTTCCCATAGCTCTTGGACCAACCTCCCCAACCAAGGGTCACCAGACCCAAATGTCAATAGGACCAAATTGAGAAAGTTTGATCTAAGGTAACAGACCCTGGGTTGGTCTCCCAAAGGAGAGATGTGAGCTTCTATGAAAGAGGTGTGTGTTGGCCTACATATAGTTGTCTGTGTGTTGTTTTCACCTTGACCTTACCTAAATGAAGCTTTCAGATTTAGCTGATGGGGGTGGGCACTGAAAGGCTGTAACCTTCAACCAGAGATGTTCTGGCTGTACATCTCTGCTCTCTATCCCTCTATCCTATGTAGGCATCTGGATTTCTTTGAGATGGTCCGGAATGAGGATGACCTGGAGCTAGCCAGGAGGTTTGACATGGTGAGGAACCTGCAGGGGTATGGTAACTGCGGTGGGGTCCTCTCACTGCTCCCTCTCCACATCCTGTGTTGTGGTAGGTCCAGTGTTGGCTGTGTTCTCTGGTGATGGTCCCCACAGCCCCCACCTGCAGCTGGAACCCTGGCTGGTCCAGAAGGGCTTTCCTTTTGGGTCTCACTTGGAGTCTCACCTGATAAGCTTCACATTGTGGTGTCACCTGGTGAGCTTCATCAGGTGGGCCTCCCCTGACCTGTAAAGTCATCCAGAAGACTGCAACCCCCAAAAGAAAGAAAGCCAGGCTTCTCTTGAGATGAATGATTAGTCTTAAATGCTCTTCTGTGCTGCTTTTTCTCTGCCTTCAGCAATTTCTTGAGTCACCTTCTCCATTACTAGCCAGGTTGTGCTGAGCCAACCAATTTATATTTTCACTTTATCCTTAGTAACGAAAATATACAGTCCTGCTGCTTCAATATGGCATTATAAAATCCCGATCCAAATAGAAGCCTATGGGGGGGGGAGGGGAGCACTTCAGTCACCAAGCACTACCCCTTTATATTCTCACACAAGTCCTGGATTTAGACAGACGAGGAAACTGAGGTTCAAAGGATAAAAAGTTCTCTTGCGGTCCCTCCCTGGTGGCACAGCAGGTGAAAGCACTGCACTAAGAAGCTTAAGCCACTTCCGCATGAGTTCAATTCCCGCCTGCCCTGGAGGAGACCACATGGCACGGCAGACCTCTCCTGACCCGCCCACTGCTCCCCTCAGCAGTGTACTTCGTCGTCGATCTGCCTGTTCTGCTCCCCTCTCTGTCTCTGGTGAATCCTCTCACCTTCCACATCTCTGGCCTGTACCTCAGTTCTGTATGAATAAATAAATCTTTTTTTTTTTTTTTTTTAAAAAAAGAAGCTCTCTTGCTGCTCATCTAGAGAGTGGGTCTGGGGTCTGAATGAGCCTTTCGGCCATACATTTCTTGGATCATCTATATCCCTGGTTCCTGCCGTTAGTTTAAATTAATAGTTCTCAAGCGGGAGCTTTACTGAGCCCCCTCCCAGGGGATATTTGTACTGTCTGGAGACATTTTTAGTTATCACAACTGGGATGAGGAGGATGCCACTGGCATCTGACAGACATAGCTAGATGCTGCTAAACATCCTGTGATGTTTAGCACAGTCCCCCACACAAAGACTCCTCCAGCTCATATGCGAAGAGCGCTGAGCTTGTGAATCCTGGTTCATGGAACTCGCACATTTCCCACCTCCTTTTTTAAGCCTGGGCCAGAAGCAGGGGAACGCATGCTCTTCCAGGAATGGAACTCGTGGATGGACTCAGGGTCTTTTTCTTCCCTACTCTGCCCCTCTGATGCACCCCTTTACCCACTCACTGCACCCTCCACTCGCCCAGGTCCACATTGACACCAAGAGTGCATCCCAGATGTTTGAGCTGATCCACAAGAAGCTGAAGCACACGGAGGCCTACCCCTGCCTGCTGTCCGTCCTGCACCACTGCCTTCAGATGCCCTGTGAGTAGCCTAATCTGCCTTCCCTCGGCTGGCTAGACCCCTGGCCCGGGTCAGGCTGAGATAAGGCTTCGGGATCTCCCTGGGTTGGTGAGTCTCATCAGGTCTCCTGCACATGTCCCCAGAAGCCAGGCTACAAGACTTAGGCCCCATTGTTCTCTTCCTTCTGGGGGTGAAGACTCCGACCATCATTCTGGGGAGGAACTGGGTACTTAAACTGAACCACCCCAACATCTTATTCTAACAGCAGTCATTTGATCACTGAAAATCAAACAGCTCTGGCTGCCAGCTTGTGCCAAAGGGATAATCAGTCTTCTCTTTGAGTTCCAAAAACATTTTGTGTTTGAGGAAGTAGCACAGATGTGGACTGAGTATGCCTTTGGGGGAAGGTTTATCAGCTCCTCCACATAGTCCTTGCTGGCTCCCACCCAAGCACCTTTGACGCGGCTGCTTTTTACAAATATCAAATGCCAACAGCTACATGAGCAGACACTGAGCTCTTAAGATCCAGATGTGCATAATGGCTGAATAAATGACACATCATTACTAACGGACAGCACAGCCTGCAATTTGAAATGAGCTTTAACTGTACCTTTGGGCATTTAAACTCTTCACAAAGTAGAATCCTTTGAAACCTAGTGTGGCCCATTGTCATGGCCAAACTGGGCCAATTCTCATTACATGATGGTACCAGTAACCATGGCAATGTGATAACAACTGCAATTTGTTGTGTGCCAGTGACCTGCCAGGACTGCAGGTCCCTCAGCACAGTGTCTCTAAATTTCCAAGTGACTTGAGGGGCATGCTTTATTTCCAGTTGACAGTGAATGAACTTGAGGCTGAGCGAGTCTTAACATACGGAGGAATTTTCTTTCTTTGGGGTTAGGGTTTTAGATGAAACAACTTTTTCCTCTATGAGCCAGTGACCTGACATTTCCCATTTTCCTGGGTGAAAGCTAAATGGAAGACTATGCCTTTGGAGTGTGTGTGTTCATGGTTTGGTGGAAAGGAAAATGGACACAGTATCCTAGACGAGTTCTTCTCCCTTTTCTCCCCCAAAACAATCCAGAAGGTCTTCATGGGAAGTCATTGAGAAGCCTCACTTGTTCTGATCTGAAAGCCCCCGGGCAATGTGAATGGGCCCTTCTGCTCTGCCTCAACATGGTGTTTTGCCGTTATGGCCTTCCACCTTGTGGAGACTGTGGTTTGAGTGTGAGCTCAGGCCTCATGCTGGGTGACCTCCCTTGGTGGTCATGTTCCAAGGAACCCTGTGGAAAATGATGTGACCTGGATGTGAGTCCGTACCTGTACAGCAAAGAATTCCCAACAAACCTAAAGCAGACATATAGAGAGAAACGGCAGGGGAAATAGAAGCTTATTTACAAAAGGATTTACAGAGGTAGAGAAAAAGAGGTAGGAATTGAGTAATGTGTGGTCCGATACCACCTGTCCTGCTAACATGTGGCACCAGGGTATCAGTCGAGTCCACAGAAGCAAGAAGAGAAAAGGACCACAGGCTCATCTGCAGTCAGATGTTTACCACGCACAGCTGCTTGACTCTACCTCTAAATCCCTGTTCAGGAAATCTGGCTGAAGCATTCTGGTACTTGTGGTATAGGGACTGTAAGTAAGTGGGGTGAGACACATGGCACCTTCCCTTTTATTCAGTAGAGACAAAGTGCTTAGTACCAAAAACCAAGAAAAAGAGCCTGTTACTATCTCTTGAAAAGGAAGTTCATGTCCAGCCAGACCATGATTGAAGAGAGTGGGGCCTTGTGAGTTCAAGTACTGCAGTGATGCCTTTGCATTCTTAGTTCAAGGTTACCTTCATCAAAAAATCTGCCTGAATTCCATTAGATTTTGCCAGCCCCTCTGACTCCCTCTTGTGTATGCATGTAATTAGTTTCCATTCATCTTTCTCTGTAGAACAATAACATAGATAATCCTAAACCTTTTTGTTTTTTTATTTCCCTGGAGATGTCATTATTCAGCATGTATTATTTTGGAGCACATTTATTTTCTCAAAGGTGCTTTTTCTTTTTTCTTTTTTTTTATTTTTAACATAATGTAGAAAGCAATTTACATTCTCAAGGAAGAGGATGATCAGGGTATCAACAGGGAAGAAAAGTAGTCAGGTAGCATTTCAGGAAGCAAAGAAATATGGCAAGAGCGTTGACACATTCATAGAATGCCAGTTGTAGATAATCAAGAAATGACTGGATTTGTAAGCAACTGCAAATGGAAGGGGAAGGGCATGCCTTACCATCCTGAGCCCAGACAGTAACCCTAGGGGAGGGCCCTCAGGGAGTTGAGGGCTTAATAAAGATAAAGTGCCTATTATTCCTTAGACAAGAGGAATGGTGGCTACTTCCAGCAATGGCAGCTCCTGGACCGTATCCTCCAGCAGATTGTCCTGCAGGATGAGAGGGGTGTGGATCCTGACCTGGCTCCCTTAGAGAACTTCAACGTCAAGAACATCGTCAACATGTGAGCAGTGGCCAGTCCTCACCTATCTTCCTCCTTCTTCCCCATCTCTCTCCTACTTGGGGTCACCTCAAACTCCTTCTCTCAATCCAGCCAGTTCTAACTGGGTCTTGAGTGGCATTGTCCAGTAGAACTCTCTGAGGTCGTGCAGTGTTCCTTGTCTGCCTGTCCCATGTGCCATTGGATGTAGCTGTTGAACATCGGACCTTGGTTAGCATGATCAAGGAACCATATTGTTCATTTTATTGCTCTTTAATTTCAACAGTCAGGTGACATTCAGTTTAGTGACTGCCTTCTTGGACAGAGAGGGTTTAAGAATGGGGGGAGGGAAATGGAAGGGAGAGGTACTCAACAGTCAATGATTCATTGAATGCAGAGGATAGGAGAGGAGTTTAAACACATTCACATAAAGAAGAGATCAGTAAACAGTAGCCTGTGGGAGAACTCTATCCTCTAGCTTGCTTTTGTATGGTCTTCCAGATAAGACCAGTTTTTACAATTTAAAAGGATTGTTGAACTCAAACACAAGAATATGCAATAGAGGCTGCATGGTATGCAAAACCTGAACTATTCACTTTTGCCCTTTACAGGGAGTGTGCATCCCAATATTGACATACAGATTGTGGTCATTTGACACGGGGATTTTGGATGCAAGGAGACAGAATCTGTGGTCTTTGAGCTGTCATCTGGGACTGGCTAAATAGAGACACAGAGAAACAAGTTTAAAGTCACATAAATTATCAGGCTTTATGTTAGTGCACTGATTTTTTTATTTTTAGCTTGTACTGCAGTATGCCTCTGAATTGAATTCCCTCAGTTGATAAACTGACTGCCCATGACTCACTGTGTTGAGTAGAAAACAGACTTTGAACTGTTCATGCTACTGTTGCCATCCACACAAGTAGTTGGGTATTGATGTAGCTAACATCCTAACTGGTGTGTTGGACAAGCACAACTTGTAAATTAATCAAAACACAGCTTTATTTTATTTTCTACTGATTTTCTAAAGTTTTTAGTGGGGAAGCTCTTCCTCTGCCAAAGGATATACTGTTCAGGTCCAGTGAAATTTGTGCTTCTTCTTTGGCAGTGGAAGTGCTAAGATCATATTAAGCTATCAACAGAGTCTCAAATCTTCAACTAAAAGTAATGGTCTCAGAAGCGAATCAACATTCTAGATTTAATTTAGCTTTAAATCTCTTCCTTGTCTGGGTCTGAGATTCTGTAGTGAGAAGGGTGTGATTGTGTGTGCGTGTGTGTGTGTGCGCGCGCGCATGTGTGTGTGTGTGTGTGTGAGAGAGAGACAGAGACAGAGAGAGAGAAAGAGAGAGAGAGAGATGGTTGGCTTCTTTTCTCTGTTGTTGCTTTTCTAACTCCTTCCACCCCCTTTTCCACTAGCTAGCCAGTTCCTGACCCCCACCAGAAGCAGCATGGGGGCAGGAAGGTGAAAGAGAAAAGGTCTTACTTGACCAGGTAACTTAATTAACGGGCTTCCTGCTCTGTGGTTTTGGCATGTGGGTAAAGTAATGGATATATTCCTGAATACACATACACACACATGCTTGTGTTGCCTCTCACTATAAAACCCTAATGACTGGCCATTCTTATTTTCTCCCCCTCTTCACCTCTCAGGGCTGGCTGGTCCCAACTATCCCTTCCATTAGCCTCTGTTTTCCTAGCAATCCACTCCACATAGATTTACACTGTGGAAGTGTCAGAATTTTCTCCCAGATGGAATTCCTGGACAGGATTTAAAATAGCTTCAGCCTAGTTCTTCCATAGCCCCTGCATCAGAAACCCTCCTGTAATCACTTGTGCCAACAAACACAAAGTGCTGTTAGGTCCCACATGGCAGTATTCTGATCAGTTCTTCACCTTTGGACTTGAATGACTGCAAGACAGACTGCAGTCTACCATGCCTCCCTACAAGAGAATATGAGTCTAAACTCTGTCAGTGGATCTAGAAGGAGACAGCATCCCCAATAGATGACAACAAATCTCACTCTGCAAAGGAATATCCTCACACAATACCCCTGAAACTACCTCCCTTCTTTATAGCCTTGATCTGGTTGAGAAGCCCAAGAGTGCTGGATCTTACTGTTCAACACTTTCAGATTTACAAAAGAAATTATTGGGATATTATTTGGATTTTACCTCTCTTATACTCTGGTGTCTAGGTAAAACTCAGTTTTAATCCCCTGTTACAAGAGTTTGACATGAATGAGGACTTAGAAACATTCATCCTGTTGTTGGGGTAGGTGATTTCTTTTGCTCTTACACATTGGTCTTTGGATATCTGGATCATGGTAGGGTTAATATTTTGAACTCTTTCAGATGTAAAAAACCCTATTTTTGTACAGTTACAAATCATTATGCAGCTGAAAGGAGCCTGAAATTTAGTCCTAGTTTACTACTGATCAGCTGCTGTATCACAGAGCACTTCGTTTTACTGTATCTGAGTGTCCTTTCAGGTCTCAGTCCACAAAGAGACACGAGGCAGGAATGGGAACCTGGCAAGAATTCTGGAGTATCAAAATCTTAGTCTCCTTGGTGTGGCTAGACAGAGTAGATATCAGGTGCCAATGTGGGGAAGAGAAGATGACATTTCTTTTCTGGGAAGTACTGAACCAGTAGTCAACAGACACTGTCCTCTACTTTCCCCCAGGCTCATCAATGAAAATGAAGTGAAACAGTGGCGAGACCAAGCAGAGAAGTTCCGCAAAGGTGAGGGACTTTGCTTAAACCTACTTCATTCCTCACTCATACTCCCTCTCCCCTACATCCATCTCCTCATTGGAGGGGAACATACCCACTTTCACTCCTGACTTCCCATTTCTTTTCCTGTCCCACCGTCATCTTAGAACACATGGAGCTTGTAAGCAGACTAGAGAGGAAAGAGCGAGAGTGTGAGACAAAAACGTTGGAGAAAGAAGAGATGATGCGAACACTGAACAAGATGAAGGATAAGTTGTCCCGAGAGTCCCAAGAGCTGCGCCAGGCTCGAGGACAAGTGGCAGAGCTGGTAGCCCAACTCAGTGAACTCTCAGTATGTGGCACCCCCTTTTCCTCCCTACACAGTTGAGTCTAGCCCCAGGTTTCAGGATTTGGTGGGAAGAGCAGGTGTAGAAAGGAACCAAAGACTTCAAGATGAGGGAGAAAGGAAGGGGGGACCTGAGGTCAGAATAGGGGGGATTCCTGAAGAAGAAATATGGCATCCTTTTGTTATTTAGAAAAAATAATAATGCTCCTTCCTATTGGTGACACTGTTGCAGGAAGCACACTTTAGAAGCAGACAGGATTTGGATTCTCCACCCCTCTCTGCGGGATGCTTTGTGTAGCCAGTGGCCCTACAGCTGCATGTGTCAGTCTTACTGTTAACATGGTGATGACTATGACTTTGGCCAGTGTATGTTTGTTTGACTTGTGTATAGCACCCTGTGGTTGTGATGCCTGTGGTTACATCTGTTTTGGCTATTTGGGAAACCAAAAGTATGGAGGTGAGACAGGATTTGGAATCGAGTACAGATAGAAAAAGAGTGAGGAAAGGATTAGTGGCAGGGACGTGAAAGAGAATCATTGCTAATGACATTGTCTTTTTGACTTGTCTCCCCACAGACGGGACCTGTATCTTCCCCGCCTCCCCCTGGGGGCCCACTTACTTTCTCTTCCTCCATGACAACCAGTGACCTGCCTCCACCCCCACCACCTCTACCATTCGCCTGCTGCCCCCCACCACCACCTCCACCCCTTCCACCTGGTGGGCCTCCCACTCCCCCAGGTGCTCCACCTTGCTTTAGCTTGGGTCTACCCCTCCCTCCAGACCCTTTCCCCAGCAGTGATGTCCCACTCAGGAAGAAGTGTGTCCCACAGCCTTCCCACCCACTGAAGTCCTTCAACTGGGTCAAGCTGAATGAGGTGAGCAACAAGGAAAAGATCAGCTAGTCTGTTCTCTTGCAGCCATGACAGTCAGCTGAGGACAGACTACCCAGGGTTTGTATAGTTCCACTCTGGGTTATTTCTGCAGTGGGGGATAAAGGTGGACACAAGGGATATAGAAGATGGGGTTGCTGATCCCAGGTAATTTAATACCCACTAAGAAAAATAAACAAACAAACAAACAAAACATCTATACTGGTAGGAGATGACTTGGCATTTGGTAAAACCAACCACAAATTAAATTTGGGTGTGCTGAGGGTTAATTGAGTAGTAGATCTCAGAGCACGGGTCACAGGCATGCTTTCTAGATAAGGCTAAGGCCAGCTAGAATTTTAAGCAATTTTGAGAAAAAGTGTATAAGATGTTGACAAAGATCTTAGACCAAAGACTAGACAACAATTAGGACAGTGTGTAAAAAGGGTTGAATGTTGGTTCCATGATGTGGGCAGCAAGGTAGGGTACTGAGGTAATGGTAATGAAAAGTTGGATGTCAACTTACAGCCCTTTTGGCATCCTTCCAGGTGTCAGGTGTGAACACTGATTGTTGCTATTCTAGAGTGCTCAGCAGTGAGAAATCCTCATGAGTATTTTCCACCAATCATTACCAATTGCAGACCCATGTGCGGGAGCTGTTGGACTGTCATGAGTGTAGAGTAGAGATGCCCTGGACACGTTAGACCCGTGGTAATTAAAGCCAGCTCCAGCCTGGTTCAAGCCCTGCCTCCTGTCTGAGCTATGCCCCACTAAAAGGAATTTTGGCTCTGAACCTAAGTAAATACATACTAGGTAACTGAGTGCACATAGCCTGAGCCACACTCATACTCAACAACAGCCCTGCACACATCCGTGTAGAGCTGGAGCTCATGGATGCCCTGTGACCTTCCATGGACCTGCTGGAATAACTATTGGGGAATTCATAGCTGTTCTATTTTGTTAACTTTAAATGAACTCAAATAGTGACTTGAGTGGCTAGAAATGTGGAATTGCAAAATAATTAGTAATTCAACTATTTGTTAGGTGCTGTCTCTGAATGTTGAATGGTAGACCAGATACCCAGCCAAACCTACATCTCCTGCTAAATGGATAATAACAAGAGTAGAGGCATAACATTGTCTTATCATACCTAACAAATTAGGAAGAATATTTGAGGAAGTCCCTAGAGATACTGGAGATGGGACTGAGGGAGAGGATGTAACCTCTAGCTAATCAAGGTTTAGCTCTGTGTGATCTATGAAAATCATTTACTTTGTCATACCTCAGTGTGTTTGTTTGTGAGATGATCCCTAAAATTCCTTCTGTCTCAGGTTTTATGATCTTGGTGAAACAATAAAGCATAAATATATCCCATTCATAGTTGCCTGGACCTCTGATAACATTTTCCATCTGAGTCACTAAAATTTTAGAGCCACTCATTAGCATCATTTGGAAGCAATATCACTGAAATCTGTTACAACTGTTCAGAAGTTGTGCCCTAAGGGATGCTTCTCCAAGGCCATGAGATGAGTCAGAGGGCCCACTGAAGGGGAGCAGGCCAACTGTAGGGGAGCAGGCCAACAGCCCTGCAGAACAAAGGCCATTGGCTGCATGGAGATGCCGTTGGCTCCTGGTCCAGAAATACTGCTTTAGTGTGGCTGAAGTAAAGATTAATTTTGTCATCTATACTTAAAATATAATTTAAGGTTTTAAAACTATAATGAAAACTATAATGTAAGTTCCTGAGTAGGAACTTACCTAGTTTGACACCAAACAAGGCCTCTAATAATTTTGCCACCTTTTCATCATATAGAACTTTGTATTTAGTGTTTTATCTGGGATCTTAGAGTAATAAAGTCTGTCTATCTATCTGCTTATCTATCTATCTATCATCTATCTGTAGTGTTTATAAATTCCCCAGGGATACAGAAAAGGTCAGAGCTTCCCTCTTACACTGGAAAGTACAGACTTTATGGGACAGATCATAGGGAGCATTTATAGGGATTGAAGACATTTCTCAGCAGGGGTGGAGTGAAGGGACACAAATGATATTTGTGAATCTAGTATCCTATTCTAAGCTTTTAATAGTGTGACTGGGACATATTGTCTGGGTTAGATTTTGGATCCGTACAAAGGAAGAAATAAGGATGGCAAGAAAAAGGAATATTGTGATGATTGACTTAGTACATAGGAAGGATTTGGAACCATGAGTAATCTACTGGACATACATAGCAATATTAGAAGAATTCTCATTCATGACACTACAGTGTATGCGGCAAGTGTATAATCTCAATCCTCATTTCAGATTAGAAGGTAAGCATCCCTCAGACTCAGTTTCCCTTTATGTAAAATGGGTAAAGAACAGAACTCCCTGGCTTGGCCTGTGCTCCCACATAGGGGTGAGGTCAAGAGTGCAGCAGCTAAGTGTTACCCCAGGTACTCGAAGAAGGAAGGCTAATGGAATACATTTTTGAGAGCAATTTCCCTGGCATATAAAGGATGTTTATAGAGGACCAGAAGCCCCAGGATCTAGACTGGAGGTGGTGAGGTCTTGTCCAGAGTGGCATAAAAATTCAATCTGAGACATTATACCAGGTATGAACATGGTGAAATTTAGGATGTGAGAATACAAGGAAGACATAGTCCTCCTTCCAACTGTGGACCTCAGGTACACCTCCACAAACAGCCCCCAAATGCTTCTGAAGAATGCAGAGAGGGGAAAGTGCTGGGGAAGATGCTCAGTCTTTTGTCTGATGGGAAATTCTGCCCAGTGTTGAAGCCCCAGCCCACTAACTCCCACCGCTCTTCTGGTCCCAGCCACTGAAGGAATAAAAAGCAGTAAGAAGCTTTATCTCTTGGGGACTTTCCACATCCTCACCTCCACCCCAGCCTAGATCTAGATGGGGAGCCAGCTAGAAGTTTCTCTTGCCTCCCTTCTCCCCTTCAATCCCTGTCCCTCTTCATCTCTCCACATCCCATGCCAGCCCCCTCTTATATCCTCCTTATGCTCCTGTACACACACACACACACACACACACACACACACACTGGTTGTTTCTGCCACGAAAAGAATGTGTCTGTGTTGGGCTTGGCCCCTTGCCTGTAGCCCTCACTTCTACAAGCTTCCCAGCCCGGCATTCCACAAGAGGGTCCCTGGCCTTAGGAAGGCCACAGGAATGTCCCCACCCCCCTGCTCTGGCCTAGCCTCCCCTTTGCAGAGTTTAAGAAAATAAAAGTGAGTGAAAGGTATGCTTCTCTCTCTAAGCATTGTTGAAGGGGAGCTGGAGGGAGGAGGAGGCTGCATTTTGAAGGTTCCTCGATTGCTCTTCCAGCAGGGGAAGGAGGGTAGATTCTATTTTAAAGGTCAGCAAAGCTCTGGGTTGGGTGAGGATGTCTTAGCAGAGAAGGGTGGCACCTAGGAGAGGGTTATCATTCTCTGGCCTCAAAGTCGTTATGGGGTGTGATGAGACCAGTAAGGCGGTCTTAGATGGGCTAACAACTCCTCCTCCTTCACCCCTGGGATTCGGGATTCAGTGCAAGGATCCCATGCAGAGATGGTATAAGACATCAGCTGAGAAACGTGGGGTTGGGACCCCTTCCCTGGTCTGGCCAGTGGAAAATAGTGTGGGACTGTTGGTCTGAGCTGGCACAATAGGAATCAGATGGCTGAGACTTTGGCATGTGTCCAGCCTTTGGAATCTGGGAAAGTAGGACAAAGGCCTCTGGGAAGAAAATGACCATCTCAGGATCTAGGGAACTCTGTGTGCTGAGGCTTTGTGTGGACAGCATTCCATCGCCTCCCCACCCCGACCCCCAGCCCACTCCCAACTATAAGGTGAGCGAGGCCCTGTGCAAATGTCCGCCAGCACCTATGTAGATTTGCTGGAAGGAGGAGAGTGCACCTCCCCAACTCCAGCTTGCCTACCCCTCACTCCACTCTCCTGCTGATTTCACCAATATGCAGATATGCAGCCACACTCTAAAAGGAGGAGGTGAAGGTTGTCTCTGGCCTCTATCCTGGGCAGACTATGAAGGTGGGGTGCATGGGTGGCCTCTTGTGAAAGCCTGGCTGTTGTATGTGCTGTTGAGGGGTGTGGGGTTAAGCAGGCTCTGCATAGTAGAGGAGCGAGTCAACCACGGGCTCTTTTCCCTGCCTGAATCTTAGGAACGAGTCCCTGGCACCGTATGGAATGACATCGATGACATGCAGGTATTTCGGATTCTGGACCTACAGGACTTTGAAAAAATGTTTTCAGCTTATCAAAGGCACCAGGTAAGAACCTGCCCCTCTAGTGTCGTGGGTCTTGACTTCTAGTCTGGACTCCCACACGTACCCCTTGAGCCCAACCTTCAGTCCCTTTCACACGTGCCAGATATTTTATTCTTGATCAGGTGCCAGGATCTTGCTGGGGTGTAGCTATTAATTAGAGGGGGGGATGGGGGCGTCCATCCTGTCATATTACAGATTGTACTTACACATTAAATGATGAAAAAGTATTTTGTCCATTTCCCTTTTACATCCTGGAGCACTGGAGGGGAAGCCCAAGACCCAACCCCTGTTGGCCAAGGCTCTTTCTTTGGTCCCGGGGCTTAGAGACTGCACTATACATAGAAGATCACTTTCAAACCACTTTCTCCAACATAGTTTCTTCTTCCAGCACCCCCATGAGCTAGTGGAGCAGAGGATGTTAGTGTTTCCAGAAAGGTGGGGCAACTGTACATCACACTGGGGGGTTGAGGCTGGGATGGGGTTGGGCAGGCCAGGAGAGGCTCTGGACTTTGCTCTATGGACATGACTGGCCAGAGAGCCTGATATTCCAGCAGCATTGGGGTGCTGCGGGGCACTCCTCAGGCAGTACCAGATGTGAATGTGAGTCAGGAGATGCTGTTGAGGCCCAGAAATCTGCACCATAGTGAGCTCACCTGGGGGCATTACCAGGCAAGAGGCTTTGGGAGGAGGGTGGCTTTCCTCCTGGCCTGTCTGCCTCCAAGGGACTGGTTCTACTCTGGGTTGTGAGATTCCATGTTTTCTCTGCTGAAACCAAAAGCCTCACTCTGGAAACTTCCCCCGGTGCCAGTGAGGAGGGACTCCGCCCTCCTGGACTCTGAGCAGTGGCTACGTGTTGTGATAGACTCTCTGCTGGCTTCTGCCACTTGCAGACCTGTGGATGGCTCTCTCTAAGGCACACAGAAGTGAAGACATGTGTGACTGTGCCCAGGGGATTAGCCTAGACAGGGGTCTTTGGGGGTTGAACTCTGGTCCTGTCTTGAAGTTATAGGTCAAACAGATTCTGGGAAACATAATCAAGCCCATGTATGGTAGCTGTTATGGCCTGGCTGGAGCTGAAAGTTTGTGTGCCTGGTGCTGCTGAGTAGACACTGAGGATGAAGGGAGTGTGTACATGGGTGTGTCAGGCATGGCCAGTCTAAGGGACTTCTCCTGGGTCAGGGGGTTCTGATCCAGCCCGCCCAGTCTCCAGGGCCTTGTGGTAGGGCTTGGATGGGGCCCTATGGGGATGATGGGGCTGTGGATTTAGCTCCAAGCTGGGTCTGGAGCCTCCGCATTTGATGAGTGAAGATTTAAGACAAACTTTTCTGCCCTCTTTGCTTTTCTCTTGCCACTCTGTCTAGTCCCCTGTTTGGGGGCTAGGCTCACTCACACTCCTGTCACTCAACAATCACCATCCTCCAGGGCTGAGCTCATAGCAGCAGAGCAGGAGACACCCCGGAGGCATGTTACCTGGCCACCTCCTTCCCCATCACGGGGCCCTGGGCGCATGGGGGAGAGTCATCCTATGAACTCCGGTCTTCCCTCAGTGTCCTCTGCAGGGCCTGAGTGAATGACCACAGCTCCAGACGGGACAGGTGTGGGCTCTGTCCCCTCGGCTCCCTTAGAAATCTAAGGAACTACCAGCATAAAGGGCAAGGAGCAAAACTCAGGTGTACCTGCTTTCCTGTGCCTCTGTGAACACAACTTGCAAGATCCTCCAGCTCACTTTCACCTGGGTCTCCTCCCTGAGTATGAACTCATGTGGGGGGGGGGAGGAGGTGCATGGCCTTTCCCCTCTAGGGAAGCAGCAGAGCTGTCAAGGCCTGGGGTGGAGGAGCTGGGGCCTGGCCTGCCCAGGCAAGAGGCAAGAGAGACCTCCACGTTGCTTGGCTTCCCTGTGAGTGCACATCTGCCGGAAGTAGCCGCTGTGCAGAGCTGCTTAATACCACATGCTCGGTCCGTCTCTGTCAACCACCAGTAGGATTTCATTGGGGTGGAGTAGACAGAGTAGCTGCTGAGGGGTCCTTTATCTCTTCTACTGTTCCTGGGTCCCTGAACTCTTGGCTAATACTGTGCATGTTTAATTCTCTGTTGGCTGTGGCTGCTGCCTGCCTAGGAGCTGATAACTAATCCTTCTCAGCAGGTGAGTCACTCTTGGGGCTCTGGACACTCTAACTTTTAACTACTGTCCTGGGCTGCAGCGATGGACTAGACCTAAAAGAGAGGGCATAGTAATTGCACTTTCTACCTGATCAAGGCAAGGGGGAGGGTCCCCAAAGAGAAAGTAGACATGTGGGAGAGAGAGGTAAGTTAGACCCCTGTCGGCCTTGGAGGTGAGGGAGGAGAAAGCTTCTCTATTGTCTGACCTACTGGACTCAAGGCAAAGTGCTTGTGTAGACTGCACAGGCTGGACTTGCACAATTCCATCCGTAACATGCAGAAGATGCTGACATCTGTGGTAGCCCTGGACTGTGCAACAAAGAGCATGCGGTTGCAGGGACTGGTCTCCTGTCTATCTCACCAGGGGCCCAAGAAAAGAAAGAGGGTAAATCTTTGATATCCTAGATTCTGCCTGCCCAGAAGAGAAAATCCTTTATGGAGATTGCCTCAGTTTCCCTGCTTGAAGACATCTTCTAGCCAAAACACATTGGCTGTACCTGAAGTGCCCAGGAATCCAGGAACTGTGGCATATGGGGAGCCAGCTTCTCCTTATAAGCTTGGGCTGGGGGTGCTCTGAGCAAGGGTGCCAGGCTTGGGGGTGATTTCTCTGGGCCCTGCAGATAATATTGCATTGCCGAAAGCCATGAGGATCAGTCACTCTCCTCCACCATAACAGCTCAAGTTTGCCCAGAGAGGGTACTCTCTGAAAGGGGCTCCCTCGTTACCCCCCAACCCACTCAAACCCAGATGCCCCCTATTAGAGTGAGTTACTAACCATCTCATCTCTCTCTTTCTTTCCCTTCCTTTCTTCCTCTACACCAGGATCATTTCCTCGTTAGTAGGGGGTGGCTGTGTGGGTAGAGGGGTCATAAGAAGATGACTGGGGAACACCCGTCCAAACTTTCCACTTGGCTTATCGGTTGCAGAAGGACTCAGGCTCCACAGAAGATATCTACCTGGCCTCCCGCAAGGTCAAGGAACTATCTGTCATTGATGGCCGGAGGGCTCAGAACTGCATCATCCTGCTTTCCAAGTACGTGCTGACCCTGCCTGAGATGGGAGGCAGAGGCCTGAGATGGGGCCAAGCAAAAGATGATGGAATTGCATGTCCGAGGGAGAGAGAGGGCAAGGAGCAGGTGATGGCAAACTCTTGCCTTGCCCCATCTCTGTTGAACCCTGGGAAGGGGGTGGAACTTTGACCTAAAACCCTCTCGGGGCTCATGTTGAGCAGCACGCAGGGCTTGGCAGAGACTGTCCCAAGCACGAGTCCCCTCACCAGCCTGGTTGGTGGGCAGCAGAGTTGCTCTGAGCCCAAGAGGGCCTCTCTCGGCCCAGGCCACAGAGCAGAATGATCTCAGCACCCAAGCATTTCCCGCCACTGCCGAACAAACAGGGCAGTCTATGCCCTAACAGCATAGCTTCTAGGCAGGGCCTCCCGCCCAGGCCGGGGTCAGAGGGCATCACCTCTCATACTATTCTTAGTGTTACCCCAGCCTCCTTGGGGACCTCTGTGCCCTCTTCTCCTCCCATAAGGCCTCAGGCCTCAGTTTCTCCCCCTTGATGTGGGGGAGAGTTTTGTATCCCCAGCATTCCCAATGCCTGTCTATCTGGAAGGGAGGGCTTGTGAAATGTTGGGGGGAGTGGTGGTTTCTCCTTCCAAACAAGACAGATTAGAACAGCTGTGTGGGAGAGGGGCGCTGTCAGAAGACTGAGAGTTAGTCTGTCTTCTGAGAATGAAAGAGGCAGGAAATTGCCCCTGAGCGGTTTGCCAGCAGTCCCTTCCTCCCAGGGAGATGCTGTGGATATTTTAGGCATGAGGAGAGAAGGATCAGAAAGTTGTGCCTGGCTCTCGGTCTACACTGCAGATGGTCCTGGATTCTGAAATGTCTCTGTTGGTTTTGACGGAGACATGAGCAAGAGACCAGAGACTCAAGCCTCTATTTAGAGACTCAAAAAGCTCATTATGGAGTTCATAGAGTGGGTCACATTCGTTTACAATGGAGGGCTTTGCAGAGGAGGTGGGGAGGGGGTATGATTGAGGGGACAAAGCTGGGGCTCTGCCTTCTGAAGACGGTGGACTGGGATCTTTGCTAAGCACAGGGGACAGAGCAGGATGCTCAGGGTCGGGGTTTTGCCTTAGGCTGAAGCTTTCTAACGAGGAGATCCGGCAGGCCATCTTGAAGATGGATGAGCAGGAGGACCTGGCCAAGGACATGCTGGAGCAGGTGAGGCTCCCAGTCGGGATGGGACCCAAAAGGGAGGTGGCCCCCTTCCCACAGCCCCGGAGAGGCTTGGGACTCTTAGGTCACAGAAGTAACAGGCTATAGGAAAGAGTGAAGGGGTTATAAAAACTTTCCTGGACTCCCTTTTCTGAGGTCCAGAAAGGCTTCTCCAGAGGATTGAGGCCCTGGAAGGAGGTATGAGGTATGGCCCTCCTTGGGCCTCCAGGTAGTGTATAGTGACCAATTGTCACATCTCCCCAAACCTTTTATACCTCAGCTTGTTAAGTCCTTCAAGGGAAAATTAAAAACACCAAACAAAAACCATCAGGCGTTTTTAAAATTATGAAGGTACTGTTCCAAGAGTAAAAAGACCAAACTGGGCCCTCTCTGGTGGCGCAGCGGGTTAAAGCACAGCTTTAAGAAGCTAAAGCCACTGAAGCAGAAGTTCGATCCCCACCCCAGAGGTGACCCACATGGCGTGGCAAACCTCTCCTAACCCGCTCGCTGCTCCCTTTTGTCAGTCAGCCTGTTCTGCTCCCCACTCTGTCTCTGGTGAATCCTCTCACCACCCCTGTACCTCTGGCCTGTACCCCAGTTCTGTATGCATAAATAAATAAATGTTTAAAAAAAAGACCAAACTTTAGAAGACACTTGCCTTACATTATTCCAGCAAAGATCTCATTCAGAAACAGGAACTCTACAAATCAGTGAGAAAATGATGAACCACACAAACAGGCACAAGGGATTTGAATGAGTATTTCATGAAAATAAATTTCCAAAAGTCTCCATATCATTAGTCATCAGAGAAATGCAGTAAGAGATACTCAACACTATTCATCACCATTATTAAGGAAACAACAGCCCTTCACATTGAGGAAGCACCACACCGCTTCAGAGTAGCTAAAACCTAAAGGGCCAGCAATGCCAGATGTTGACAAGGATGTGAGACAGTCAGTATTCTCGTTTGGTAGAATCACTTGGGAAAACTCAAAGGCTACACGTACACCAATCCTACCCCCTAGCTAGTGACTCAGGATAAGTGAGTACAGATACTAAGAATATGTAAAATAATATTTATAACAATTTTATTTATGAACCCCCAAGTTGAACAGCCCCACTGTCCAACAGAAAATATCCAGTAGGAACAAACCAACTGTCTAATCAATGGGAATGTGAACACATATGCTGTGGTCTACTCAGAGACTAGACTACCACACAGAAAACAGGCTACTGATACTTGAAACAGAGATCCATCTCACACTTATATTAAGTGGGAAAAAAAAAAAAAAACTAGCCACAAAAGAGAACACAGCTTGAGTCCATTTATAAGGAGTTCAAGAATAGGCGAATCTAAGCTAAAGAGATGGAATTCAATTGAGTGGCTATGTAGGGGGAAGAGGATGGATTGGCTCATTCCTCACAGAGGAACTTTCTGGAAAGATGGAAATCTGCATCTAATCTGGATCGTGGTTCAAAGGGTAGGTGGTATTGTCAAAAGTTAATGAACTGTATATTTTATTTTTAAAGATTTATTTTATTTATGATGGCTGGGGTTTAGGCCAAAGGTGTGGGGGAATGACAGCACTCTCAAGACAGAGTGGGGAACAGAAGGATTGGGGAACAACAGGAGGATCTTCTAAAATACACTACTGAGAGGAGCAGTGGGTGAGACAGAAGATGATCTGCACACCCACATCAATGCCCTGTCTGGCCTTCATCTGCCCTTTGCAGCTCCTTAAGTTCGTCCCAGAGAAGAGTGACATTGACCTCCTGGAGGAGCATAAGCATGAAATTGAGCGGATGGCCCGTGCTGACCGCTTCCTCTACGAGATGAGCAGGTGCGGGCTGTGGGTGCAGCAGACAGCGGGGAGGTGGCAGGGAGGCAGGTGAGGGCTGGAAATGGCTCGTGGTGGAGGCCACTGTCTGACTAGCTCCCCATTCCGTAGGATTGACCACTACCAGCAGCGACTACAGGCCCTCTTCTTCAAGAAGAAGTTCCAGGAGAGGCTTGCTGAGGCCAAGCCCAAGGTGGAAGGTACTGCTGAGGGTGTGGGGAAGCCCGGAGTGGAGAGGCTCTGGGGAGGCCGGCTGAGCCAGTGAACAGGGAAGCTTCCTTATTGTCCGTGACCCATGAAAACCAAAGTCAAGCGCTAAATGTCAAACGATGGTTATTGCAGATGGATGCGCTTTTCACATGAGCAGGTGCACCCACGCCCTGTGCCTTTGTGCGTGTGCACGTGCTCCCTGATGGGCCGTTTGTGACCTCTAGCCCAGCCTGGGGCAGAAAGGCTCAAAAGCTGGCAAGCGCCCAAACCATGGCCTACATACGTGAGCCCACCAGCCTTAACACTGCTGAAGGGGCTCTCAGCTCAGAGAATCCCCCTGGGCGTGTTACTTGAAGTGTGAGCTATTCAGAAAAGTAGGAATTTGGGCACAGTGATCCCTGATTGCACCTTAGTTTGGGAACCCTCCTCCAGAGACTTTTTCCAGATAAAACTAATTAAACAAGAACCCCATTCCAAACATCTGTGAAAAACTGCCTGTGGGTAGTCTCATCTGGTCTTCACAGCCCCCCTCTGGATGCACCCTGTTCTCTCATCCCTACAATGGAGATAGGCTGTCTGAAGCCACATCAGGGGCCTGGACTGGAATGCTGATGCCCTATTTAAAAGTCCATCCCTTTACTATCGTCCTGTATTCCTTCCCAGAGGACATGTCCCTGCAGCTGCCAGTGGGGATGGCAGGGGACAAGAGGCAGAGAGTAGGAGGGAAAGGCTGGTGGGTGCCCAAGCAGCCCCAGGAGAGGAGAGACAGGGAGGCTTGCTGTGCTGAGGACAGGGGCAGTGGAGGGGAACAAAAGAGCCTGTGTCTGGGATGCTGAGGTGGGGGGAGCATGCTGGGGCCAGAGCAGAGCATGGGCCCCCTCTGCTGGACACCAGGACCAACCTGCACTCCATGGGCTGCCCGGTCTGGACAGTGGCCCTTCTGGAATTCACTAGTTGTGTTTTAGAAGATTCTGGAGGTTGGTCAGAGGGTGGCAGCTAAGGCAGACAGAGCTGTCTGTGATGTGGATCCTGATTCCATGTGCGAGGGAAGTATAGACTGGCTGTGGGCACAGATCGTGAGCCTGAGAAAAGAGGCAGGAGTTTGGCAGTCCCCAGTCTGGTCATGACTCCTGCCTTGGTGATGGAGGAATTTTTCCCTTCACTTTCTCTGTCCTGCTCCAGACTGCTTTGGGGACATGAGAAACAAATAAGAGGTTCAACCCAAGAGCTGTGTCTTGGTTTACTGAAGCAAATGTGAGCAATTGCCAGTTGGCTCTTGGAACCAGAGTAGCTGGGACAACAGGTGGCTGTGATCTCAGGTCATTTCCTGCTCCCAGGATGCTGCTCCTAAATGCTTCCTAGATGCTCAGGAGACAGTGTCCTTTAATAGCAACAAACAGAGCAAGGTGTATTTGGGTTGGCAAACCTGCCAGGGGGAGTCCTCATCTTGCAATAGCAATGGCCATTATTCTAGAGAGATCTAGAGGTCTGGAAAGAGGTGCCTTTTACTTACAGAATCAAGTAAGTGGGCTTGACAGGTAGAGTATGAAGGCTAATTGGGAGTCCATATTATCTCCTTCCAATGCTTCCAGGAAGTATTGCTGGGAGAGCTGAGATTTGACCCTATTCCAGCTGGTTGAGAGCTATGGACACCCCTATTCCACACCCCCAACAGGTCCTCTGGGTCAGTTGGATGATTTGTCTATGAATATATTCATAAACATTTTCTTGTTGAATATATTCTTCTTATGAATATGTTCATTGCTGAATATACCAAATTTACTGATTCTCATTATGAATACATTCACTGAATATAGTCAAGATGAATATGGTCTCAAATGTAAACATATTCTTATGCATATATTCATGGATATATTATCCTTATGAATATATTTAAAATGTCAGCAGTGCAGACAGGAGTTCTCCCATTTACACCGATTTCCTTTGAACTCTTGTCATTTTCTGTTTTGCCAACATTTTAGCATTTTTAGGAGGATTCTGCAAATTTTTCAAACAGCATATCAACCTTAGAGAAACTAGCCCAATATAAGTGACTAGAAACTTTTTGCTAGTTTTTTAAAGTCAACTTTTAATTGAAATCCTTATGGGAAAACTACACATGTGTAAGAGTCTTCCTTGATGAGTCATCCTAAAGTGAACTCACTGCGTAATCCACACTCAGGTCAAGAAATGAGTGTCCTGTCCCCTTGGGTCCTTTTTCATGCCCCCCTCAAACACAACCCCGCCCAACCTCTACTGTTTCCCTCCATTCTAAAGGTAACAACTATCTTGACTTCCAGGTTAGATTTGTCAGTCTTGAATATAAAATGGAGTGATAGGTATGAATAATTTTATGCTGTCTGCTTTCGCCCATCCTCATAGTTGAGAAATAAAAAGATGGCTTTTTGTGATACATAGTGGTGGGCTGTCCCTTTCCAATACAGCATTTTATTCTGTGGCGTGAATATACCATATTTTATTTAACCAATCTATTTGTAATTTAAGAATAAAAACCCAAACAAGAAACCACACAAATACCCATTAAGCCTAAATGCTACTGTGAGGTCATAGAATATGCAGGTGTTCAGCTTTAGCAACTACTGACAAATCTTGCTTATTTAATCTTAACTGTTTTTAAAGATTTCTGCCAAGTTTTAATAAAATAGTTCTCATTTTATCTTCATAGCAATCTCTTAAGAAATCTTCGGTATATGATGGTTTGATTTGCTTATCACCTCCCTTAATAATCAAAAATTTTCTGTGATGAGCTGTCAAAGATAAGACACATAGCCCAGTTTTGCTCATCACCATCTCCAGGTATGGGGAGGGGGGAGTCTCACTTCATTCACCCACATATGAATGAGGTGCTCAAGTTCTGGTTCCTGCTCACCTTTGTGTGAATTTCTAACAAATATATAATTTCAGGGGTTGGGAAGAAATAGTTCCAATGTCTAGAAGGTATAAATTGTAAATAATGCTCAGTAGGATACCGCATAATATGTTTAATCAAATCAAGACCCCCACAACTGTAAAACATACCGTTAGCTTATAGTACAGAAATCAGTGAAATTCAGTATCTGAAGAGAAGCAGAAACAGCCCCACTATATGTTGAAATTTAAACTTTTAACTACTAGGTTTAGAAAAGTAAAAGTATTGTATGCATATGCATAGACAAAGAAAGGCTCTATTAATAAACTTTAAATATATTCAAGAAAAGATATTCTGGAACACATCAGAGGAGGAGTTGTTATAACCTGGAATGGATTTCTTGGCATACTGGCATTTGGCAAATGTGTCTGTTTCTCCTGGAGGTGGGTGCACGTGGGTTAGGTGGGTCTTGTGAAGAATGAGTAGGGTCTCCACCCCTTTGAGAGCTGAAGAAACTTGAGAGTCCCTTTTCTGGACTTTGGGTCAAGGCAGCAGGCCCCCTTGCATCCCAGAGAGAGGCCACCATCATCTGTGCAGGGCTCTGACCCACCCCTTCTCTCCCAGCCATCCTGCTGGCCTCCCGGGAGCTGGTCCGCAGCAAGCGGCTAATGCAGATGCTGGAGGTCGTCCTGGCCATCGGCAACTTCATGAACAAAGGGCAGCGTGGGGGCGCCTATGGGTTCCGGGTGGCCAGCCTCAACAAGATTGCCGACACCAAGTCCAGCATAGACAGGTGGGGGCCCTCTGCCTCCTTAACCTCCTTCTCACCCCGCCCCGGCCAAACCCCTCCTCCCTCTCACCCTTCCTTCAATTCCAACCCCAAATTTGTCACCTCTTTGCCCTGACACTTCACCCCAGTTTCCTCCTGACCTTCATTCCCAATTTCCTTGGACTCTTACCCCTGAACTGACTTTCATTTGCAGAAACATCTCTCTGCTCCATTATTTGATCATGATCCTGGAGAAGCATTTTCCCGACATCCTGAACATGCCTTCGGAGCTGCAGCACCTTCCAGAAGCTGCAAAAGTCAAGTGAGGGGGTCCCTTCATAACTCCTTTTTCCCAGTAATCATGTACAGTCTTGTGTAAATATCTATGGGGCTAGCCTGGGCTCAGTAGGAGTGGGCTGTGTCTTGGGTCTTCTGAGAGAATAAAACTATTTGCTCCTAAATCCTTACTTCAGCGTTATTTGCAGGAAACAACAGGGAAGGAGTCTAGGGCTGGAAGCATTATCAGGCCAACTACCACAGTGGGTGATGTGAGGCAAGGTGGGGCTCCAGTGGCATCTGCTGTAGGGAAGAGGGCAGACCTGAACACGCAGACTGGTTGAAGCATCTCCAGTGGAGAAGCGAGTGCATCAGATGCTTGCTGCATGCACGCTATCATGTGAAGAGCTTAGAAGCATCACCTCATGGTAATAAGCAGAGCCAGGCCAGAGGTCATGTGTTAGAAATTTGCTGGTATGTTATGTGCCATGTTCTGTAGCTCCTTCCAGATCAGTATACAGCAAGGTGTAGATTTTCAGTCTGTTGTCTTGTAGAAACATGCACAGACCATGGACGGAGGGTTTTGTCAGGGCCACATGTTGGTGGTGAAAAAGGGCTGGAGCCCAGATCCACGGACTCCCAGGTTGCTGGACTTCGAACAGTCCTCCCCCTCAACCATCTTTAGCTCCGTTTTCTCCCTCTCTGTCCCCCCACAGCCTGGCAGAGCTGGAGAAGGAGGTGGGCAACCTCAGGCGGGGCCTCAGAGCAGTTGAAGTGGTGAGTACTTCAGCTCTTTCTGCCCAGCTCAGTTGTCTGCCTGTGGTGCCTGCATTTAGTGCTGTCACCTGTCATGTGGTGGACCCCAGACATCACACCCTCCCTGGTACATTTCTGTGGCCCGAAATGCTCCTAGCTGGGTGACAGAGCAGCTGGCTCAGTGGGTACCACTTCTGGTGCAGCGTCACCCTCCCCAGAAGGTGACTAGATTGTCCAGAGCTTAAGTTGAGACGCTCAACAAGGGGACATTGATCTGATACTGTGGCCATGGCTACTGCCCGGCATGGCTGTTGCCTGGTGTGTCTGCCGGGCAGTGGTATGCAATGAACCATAAATGGGCTGCATGGTTGAGTCTCATTCCAGTGCGTGAGGAAAAGGAACCAATCCACAGAAGCTGGCTAGGGACAGGGAACTCCTAGCGTGACACGGGACCCTCGTCCCTGGAAGGTCCATGTTTTGTCTTTGGCCCAGGGCAGTGAGGACCCAGGGGCTGCACCCAGGTCTCTGCTCCCCACCATTTCTGCTGATGACCTTTCTCTCAAAGGATACTCTCTCTGGCCCTCGCCTGGCTGGCCCAGTGCATGGATGCCTCCAGAGCCTTGCCCCCATGCCTAGGGACTAGAGACCTCTGATCTTCACTGTGTGTCTTAGGTGGGGTGGGGAGAGGGCAAGTAAGGGGAGAATAAAGTCAAGAATGATAAAGAGGAGAGAGTGCGCAATTCACTCTTATAGATCTTAAAAGTGCTCCTCCAAAGAATCGACAAACCAGGTGCATCATGTGCAGGTGTTTAACCTGCACATGAAACACCGGAAGGTCTTGCTAAAATGCAGATTGTAATTTTATGGGTGGGGCCTGAGGGTCTGGATTTCTAAATCCTCCCAGGTGAGTGGAGCTGTTGGCCCCAGGCCATGCTTCGGGTAGCAAGGATCTAGCAAAAGAAAGGTGGCAGTAGTGGGCCAGGAGTGAAGCAGGGTGTAGACTTTGTCTTAGAATTTTGAGACTACGGCATCCCATGGTCAGGGGAGGCTCCCGATCCTGATTGTCAAGGAGGCTGGGAAATACGGGATGCCGAGCATTCCTGACTCTCATCCTCGCACCAGTGTAACTAGCACTCGGCCTTCCCTCCTCAGGAGCTGGACTATCAGAAGCGCCAGGTGCGGGAACCAAATGACAAATTTGTCCCAGTTATGAGTGACTTCATCACAGTCTCCAGTTTCAGCTTCTCAGAGCTGGAGGACCAGCTCAATGAGGCCAAGGACAAGGTAAGGGTGCCCTAAGCCCTGTGATCTGAATCTCTCCCCTCCCGCCCTTGCCTTCCAACTCAGCCTCATGGAGCCATGTGACCACACATTCCTACCACAGATGGCCCCAGGGGACAAACCTAGTCACAGAGCTTGGAGGAAATATTGATTCCTCATTCCAACCAGAAAGGTGACAGCAGTTTTATCAGGTATCAGGCACCACATTAAGTCTCTTACAGGAATCTTCTTAATACCTACCTTAGAGGTTTGTTGGGAGGTTATTATCTCATTTGGCAGACATATGCACTGAGATCCAGAGACCTTAAGTAATGTGCCTGAGGTTGCCCAGCTGTGATGGGCAGAGCTAGGTGAGGACCCTGAATCCCTTGGTTGCTATACCTTTTTGTACTTCTCACACTAACACACACATGACCCTAATGGTGGGAGTTTTCTGAAAACGTGGGTCCTCAGTCAGTTCTCAGGGGGTGGCCTGAGATTCAACTTTCTAACCAGCTCTAGGAGATGCCCATGTTGCTGGTGCATGGTCACTATAAGTGGTGTGGTCTGTCTTGGGGGCTGTTGGGTGGTTTGAGTGAGAGGGTAGCTCTCAATTGAAGTCCAAAAGGTGCTTGGCCCATCTAATTATAGTACTTTACACCTCTTCATTCACTTAATTCCCACGACACTAAGAAGCAAGCTCAATGACTGCCTCCATTTTACAGATGAGGAGACTGAGGCATCGAGGAGTTGAGTCACTGGTTCTTCAGCTCCTGAGTCTATACTTACACAGGAACAGATAAAAAGGTGGCTCTGGGCTGCTCTGTCAGCCAGCCTCCCCAAGCCTCTCCTCCAGCCTTTCGCTAGCCTGATGATAATGGGGGTCTCCCCTCTCCAGCTCTGCTCACTTAGCCAAAGGTCTCCAGCCTTAGACGAGGCTCTGCTCTGGCTGGCACCGATACTCACAGGAGCTAAGCCCACTGTGCTGAGGGGCGAGCTCAACAACCCTTCTCTCCTCAACAGTTCTCCAAGGCCCTGACACATTTTGGGGAACATGACAGCAAGATGCAGCCAGATGAGTTCTTCGGCATCTTTGACACCTTCCTGCAGGCCTTTTCAGAGGCCCGGCAGGATCTGGAGGCCATGAGGAAGAGAAAGGAGGAGGAGGAGCGGCGGGCACGTATGGAGGCCATGGTGAGGGCTGGCTGGAGAATGGCTGGCTGAGTGGGGTCTTCTTGGGGGAGAGTGTATGTGAGAGGGGCAGGGACCAGAAAACACTGGAGGGGCCCCCCAGGAGAGAGACTAGTCTTCTTGGGCTGGTGGTGGGTCGGTGGCCAGGAAGGAAGGAAGTGGGACCAGCATCACCGCAACGGCCTTGGAGTGAGCTCCTGGTGGGAGAGCATGGTCGGTCAACTGGATTGTGGGTGGCTGTTCTACACGCAGCCCATCTTGGGGTGCTAGCCTCTCGTTCTCCCTCCTCACCTCTCCAGCTGAAGGAACAGAGGGAGCGGGAGCGGTGGCAGCGGCAACGGAAAGTCCCGGCTGGCAGCGCGCTGGAGGAGGGAGGAGAGTTTGATGACCTGGTGTCAGCCTTACGCTCCGGGGAAGTGTTCGACAAGGACTTATGCAAGCTCAAGCGCAGTCGCAAGCGGTCAGGGAGCCAGGCCCTGGAAGTCACCCGGGAGCGGGCAATAAACAGGCTAAATTATTGACATGGGGACAGGCCATAGCAGGAGGCCAGGGACAGGATGGACCCAGAGGGGCTGAGCAGAGGCGGCGGTGGTACTTAATCTGGTGCTTGGTGTGGAGCCCGGGGCTGGGTCCTGGGGTGGGCGCTGTGTGTGGTGTCTCCCCACTTACCTACAGGGGCTCCTCTCACCTTCCTCTTTCCATTCTTCTTTCTGACGCCTCAGGGGTCAGTCTCTGAGGCTGACTTGGTCACCCCTGGCAGGCCCCAGCTGAACCCTACTCCCCGGGCCCTAGAACTGTTCCACATCTAGACGGTAGGGCTCCACGGACCATGGCCAGACTTCAAGTGTAGTGAGGAGTAAGGGTGGCCTTCTGAGAGCCAGGGTGAAGAAATCCAGGTTCCCAGCCTCTGAAGAGGAGACCCTCGCGGAACTGGAATCGGAGGGACCGATTTTCCTCTTGCGTGGAAAAAGAAGCGATATACGATAGTACCTGTTTCTTACATCATGAGTCCTTGGGTCCCTCTCGTGTGTGTCTGAAGTCACTATCTTCCTTCCCTTCCCACCTACATCCGATCTACTAATCCAGAATCCCTGAAACTCATCTTTGGGTTCCCATGACTATGACTCACTTATCAGGTACTTGATGAATCTGCTAAGGGAAGGGGGTTCACGAAAGTCAGTGCTCATCACCACACCCCAAGCCTTGGGATTCGGGACCCTGGACCGCACACTCCCGTGACCTCTATCTTACAAGTGGACAATTTCTTGAAGCCACAGTGACTCTGCATCTTGTCTAGCAGTTCCCAGAGGGCAGCACTCGAGTGCCTAGCACCACCAGGAACCCTCTGCTCTCACATCCCATACCCGGTGCCATAGGCTGGAGGCCACAGAGGCCCCCCTACTCTGACAACCACTTCAAGCCATGTAAATCTGCCTGAGGTTGGCCCTGGGTGTCAGTTTCTGAGGACCCAAGGGCCAAAGCTGCTTTCTGCATTTCCAGCTCTCTCTGTTGGAGGTGTGGGGAGTGGCGACAAGCATGCAGGGAAACCTGGGGAAAGGGCAATGGAGGCTGGCGCAGACTTCCTTGGGGGTGTGCACTGCCTCAGGAACCACGGGCGGACAGCTGAGGGGATCCTGCTGCATCGCCCACCTGAATCTGTTCTTCAACCTGAGTTTCAAGGGGCCTTATCTGACCCTCCTGTCTACTTTGCCTTCATTTCATCCATTTGTGTTATCCTCATGGAGCAGGATGGCGGTCTCTACACATGTTTTCTCCCGTTATGAGGAAGGAGATGAGGTCCATTCTCTCACAGCTCTTAGGGTTTCCCCTGCTAGAGTTGGCCTTTCATCCTCTGAGGCTAGCTCCTCACCCTTCTAGCCACCTACCCTCCCCTTCACGTACCTCCCGTTTTCCAACCTACTCTCTGGCTCAGGGTTATTGCCAGTGGGCAGACTGGTGGGCTGGGCCCACTCTTCAGCCACCTGTCCTTTCCCTACATGATTCCTGGGGTGGGTCCACAGTAGCTGCAGGGGAGAAATGGGAGGTGAGCCCGGCATGTGCGTTGGTTCGAGGGGGAGGGATCGGAACAAGGACAAGCCTGGCTGGGACGGTGCAGAGGCCATCCTGGAGTCCAGGTGGGGGTAACATGAAAGCTCGCAGGAAGAGCGGCCGTGGAGAGCTTTGTGACACCCATCTGTACACCCAAGAATTTGGGTGATGGAACGATCGTGGGTGGGTTCCCTTAAGGTCCTCTCCCCAGTGGGCTGGTCTATGACCAACCTAACCCACAGGGAAGGACTCCACTTCTGGCATGCCAAGTCCTGGCAGCCCCACCTAGGAGGGAAGACTGGATCCACGCCAAGAAGGAATAAATATGGAAGTCGATCAAGCACCTGGGATCCGCAGAAAAGCAGAGTTTGGTTTAACTGTTTACAGAGGACACATACATTGTTCTAGGGCTCAGGCTTCTCACCCCAAAAGATTTTTCCTTCTCTATTTATTATTTTCTAGCTCTGGTCAGTGGCTCTGGCATTAGATGCCACTCTGGCTGGATCTCCAACAGTGCCTTGGACCATGGGCCATGACGGCTGACTCAGCAGAAGGGGCTGGTGCCCTGTGCAGATGGCTGAGTGGGCCTTTGAGATGCGAGATGTTTACGCCTGTTGTATTTGTTCCTTGGTCTTGCTTTCCAAGATCCCTCCCCACCGCCCCTGCCACCTTTGGGTAAATTCCTCCAGCTGTCAAATTTCGTGTCATTATAAAGCTGTTAGCCTAATGCAACCTGTCGCCTGCTCAGCAGCAGCTCCACTCCTGCCCTGTGGTGGAAGGAAGGTGTGTTCAGGGCAGTGGGTGGGGGAGGGTCTAGTCCAGGGTCTTCCCCACACCCATCCCTTTCTACCAGCCGGGGAGGGGAGTCGTGACCCTCTCCCCCACCTCTACCAGGGATGCCTTGGTGCCAAGGCTGCTCTCACCAGCTCTCTCGGACGACAAAGGAGGGTAATGTACAAAATCTGCAGAGTCCTGTTTACCTGCACCTTTTTTATAAGAATATATTGTAATACTAAAAAATATTAAATCCATACCATCCCCATCTAGCCTGCCTTGAAACTTGCGCCTTCTTGCCAGGGCGGGGGCTTGGGGTGTGCTGGGGAAAGGGCAGAGGTGAGGCGCTGGAGCCAAATCACGCTGGTTCTGAGGGGATTGCTGTTAACTTTTTCAGGGATTTATCTTGTGAGCTTGAAATCTGCCATGGAATTGGGCTCTTCTTTTCCTCAAGAGCTGGTTGCTAAATATTTGCCAGCATACCTGGGGACAGGGCTGGCAGGCAGTGTAGCTAGAGCCCCAACAGAGAACCAGCAGCAAGTCCAGCCTCCATGTGTACTCCCGTTCACTGATGATCTGTGATTGTTATCACAGACCATAAGCTTCAGACACCTGTATCTAATGTCACCACAGATGGTCCATTTCTGTGCTCCGACTCCACTACCTTCTCCCACCAGGAAGAGGGGGTGATGCAAAGAGAACATGCCTCTCACTCTTCTGCTGTCTGTCCCAGGAGATGGGCCTTGTGGTGGGGATGACATGCTGCAGCTGCGTGCCTGCTGAAACTGCAGGCACCTGGGATCATTCAGCTTCATTCTCTGAAACTGGCATCATGGCTTGTGGTGTGCTGTGAAGGTGGAAGCAGCCCTCAACGCTCTTCTTTCCCTGATGTGTTCCAGAATAAAGGGGTGGGGTAGTGGGCAGCAGGGCCTGGCGCAGGGAGGGTAGGAGAGGCGTGTCTTATTAGGAGACCTGAGCGCCAAGGCCTGTGTAGGAGGAGGGGACTGAGGGAGGGAGCTGGCGGGATGGTGTAATTGTTAAGCTGACAGCCTGCAAGTCTGACGGGATGCAGATCAGGCAAAAGGAGGCATCACTGGCTCAACAGATGGCAAGGAGGAAAACGGGGTGGGGGAGTGGGGCTGTGACCCCAAATCTTAGGAAGGTAAAGCCACTCAAGAAGAGCAATGATACATTCTAAATGCAAGCTGTGCTTTCCCTCCTCAAAGTGGGTTCCTCTGCTGAGTGAGCCCTTGTTCTCTCCCCAGGGAAGTAGAAGAAGAGAAAACCCAAAGTGAGAAGAGGAAGCGATGGGCTGGACTGTCTGAAGCTGGTTGTCTCAAAGAGTTAAAAATAACACAAAGTGATTTCCAGCTCTCCACCATTGCTCCTTGAGACCACGTCCTATGACCTTAGTGTCCAGGAAAGCTGAAGGGCCTGCTGGCTTCACTCCAATGCAAGGGAAACTCAAAAGTCACTATAGGTCATCTATCAATACAGTGGGCTGACCCTGGGCTGCTTCTGGTGAAGGTAAACAGTGACAGAGTTAAAGGGACTTGACATCTATCTTTCCCTTGACCCCTATTGCACCCCATCACGTGACCTGGTTGGGCCATGGGTAAGAGGAGGCAGGGGCTTTAAGTCCTATGGAAGTCCCCCCGCTGACCCCCCGTCTTGCTAATGAGCTTGATCTCCCCCAGCACAATGTCCCTGCTGACAGCCTTGCACATGTCATACAGGGTGAGGGCAGCCACAGAGGCTGAGGTCAGAGCCTCCATCTCCACCCCAGTGGGACCCCGGGCCCGGCAAGATGCCCGGATCTCCACAGCATGGCGCGTGCTGTCCAGCTCCAGCCGCACCTGGGCATGGCTCAGGGCCACCTGGTGACACAGAGGAATCAGCTGACTGGTCATCTTGGCTGCCTGGACTCCCGCGAGCTGGGCCACCACCAGGGCATCTCCCTTCTTTAGCTGGTTCTCTTGGACGAGCTTGAAGGCCACGGGTCCCAGGAGGACGACCGCTGAGGCCACGGCCACCCGTTCTGTGTCTGGCTTCCTGCCCACATCTACCATGGCTGCCTGTCCTTCTGCATCCACATGGGTCAGTTGGTCTGAGGTCGCCAGGGGTCCTGAGGGGGTGGCAGGAGCCCGGGACACAGGGCTAAGGCACTCTGGGTTAGAATCTGATTCTAGGTGGGAGCTGTAGTGTCTCTGAGGGGAGATGAAGCCCAGCTGCCACTGGGCGAGGGGAGCGGTGTAGGGGACCCGGCATCCTTTCCACAAAGTCGCCATCTGGTTGAAGAAACTCACTTTGTGTCTCAGACCCTGAACATGGAGGGGGTCCCAGGAAGAAATGCTCGGAATAGCTGGTGGGGAGTCTTGGCACATCAAAAATAATTCTGGAAGCAAGAAGGAAAGAGAAGAAAGACTGTTCAAAAGGGAAGCACTTCCCCCACCCCTTCTCCCAGCCTTACCCTTTCCCACTTTGCGCTCTCTCTTTGCATGGGGCAAAGAGAAATGAAGAGCAAAAAGCATAGTGCAAAGAGATCAAATGAAAGAGACACAGAAGAGGGGTCCCAGAACCCAAGCCTGTGGCCCTCCTCAGCAGCGTGACAGAAGACAATGGCCCCACCGGCTCCTGCAGTCAGAGGTGGGTGGGGGTGGGGGGGCTCCCCTCCACATACAACTTTAATGTTGCCAAAGTTCTCCTAAAGACCTAAGGTCCGAGGAAGGAAGCCCGGATCACGTGACCCCTCCACGCCCCTCCTTTCCTTCATTGGGGGTTCCCACCTGCATCACCAGTTATAGTCGCTTTCACTTTCAAGCTCTTGCTGGAACAGTCAGTAATCACCATGTGATGTGTGGACAAGACATGAAGGGGAACATTTCATCCTTGTCAATGATGTCAGCTGAGCTCCCTCAAGCACAGAGGAAGGGAGCGCCAATGATCCCCAACCCTGGGGAAGATGGCTGCTTACTCACAGCACTGGGACCACCTGAGACCTCCTTAGAGGCAGACCCCAACTCTGAATTTGAATCTGAACTAACAAGAGTCCCAAGTAATCCATATGCGCAGGGAAGTCTGATGCCCTATTCTAGAAACCGTTTGCTCTGTCCTTGAGAATATTACTATCCCTCATGAAGCAAACAGGTCCCCAGCTCCAGCTTTCCATCATGCTTGCTTTGTTGGCATCAGAGCTATAACTAGCCTGTTAGGGGGTCCATCAGACTCCCTCACTACTGACAGCAGGGCCTAAGCCCCAAAGAGACGTCTGTGGTGCTGGAGGCAAGTGTACAAGACAGAAGGTCAAGTGGGCTGTAGGTGGGGTGCTTTGGTGAGCTGCCTTTCTCTCTCTGGGTGGCTGGCAAGCACGGGCAGTCTCTGGCCCACTCCAGCTTAATTGGCTCTGGGCCACTAGGGTCACTCAGCTCCACCCCTAGAGAAAACGGCCTCTATGTTAACCAGGAGCTGTGTTATCAGGGAATAACTGACTTAGTCACCATGACTATAGGACACCGGAGCTCTCCCTGGTGGTGCAGCGGTTAAAGCACAGTACTATGAAGCTAAAGCCACTTCCGCATGAGTTCAATCCCCACCGGCCCCAGAGGTGACCCACATGGCGCGGCAGACCTCTCCTGACCTGCTCGCTGCTCCCCCCAGCAGTGTAATTCGTGGATCTGCCTGTTCTGCTCCCTACTATGTTTCTGGTGAGTCCTCTCACCAGCCCTGCATCACTGGCCCTGCATCTCTGGCCTGTATCTCAGTTCTGTATGCATAAGTAAATATAAAAAAAAAAAAAGTTAAAAAAAAAAAAGACTCTAGGACATCCTGCCTCAATATCTGGTGAGAAAGGATGATGGTTTCTGTGTACGTATAGTGAGGCGGAGTCTTGCACAGGGAAGAACAGAAGCAGTGAAGGCTTGGAGGGGTAAGGAAAGATGAAGACAAAGAAAATTCAGGATGAGGATCTCAGGAGGAAATGCAGGATTTGGGGGTGCGAATGGCAGGGGCCCCACCCCACAGGATCCCCAAATGACAAGGGTGAGTGGTTACGTACTGATGGGTCACCCACCGATGAGGATCATGGGCCGGTTCTTCATCTGGGAAATATTGAACATGCCTGGGTTAAGGGAAAGATGGGGAGGGTGAGAACAGCAGGGGAGGGAGAGAGAGAGGGAAAGAGGACGGAAAGGAGAATTCACTGAAAGCAGGTGGCCTTACTGCCCTGACAGCCCCATGGACATAAAGCCCCCACTGCACGCTGCAGGGCCCCCCTCGACAGAGCCCGGAACAGCCTGTGGGTGCCCAGAGCCTGCCCTTCCTGAGAAGGCAAAGTGAGATGACAGAGAGACAGTGACACCCCTCCTCCCACACCCAATATAAGAGCCCAGGTGAAGCTGAAGTCCACAGTCCTCTGTAGTCTGTGCTGGGCCAACTTCCCCAAGGAAGGAGGGCCATCACTACAACCCGAGTTTAGAGGTTCAACAGGATCAAGTGGGAGTGAGGAGCAAGGACGATACTGAGTCCTGCTGGCTTCCCTCAAGGTTTTCTTTACCTCCTCACCCCTAAACTATGGCCCTCCCTCCTGCTTTAATGGTCCCCTCACCATCCAGCCCGGCAACCCCCCTTACCTGCGTGCTGCCGTTTCTTCCTGCCCACGGCAGCCCCGATGATTCTCAGTAGCTCCTCCTCAGAGGCCCCTGCCCGCAGGTGATCCCGTAGAGATACCTCGGAGTTCCCAAAGAGGCAGACCTGCAGGGATCACCACGGGATGAGGACAGCACCCCTCGCCTCCCCCCTCTCTCTCTGAGCCCAGGCCTCCCCCCCCCAGATCTCCCCTTGGAGTAGGTGCCAGTGCCCAGGCCTCCTACATGTGGGCATATGCCTGATCACACTCCAGAAGGTGCTGGGGGGAGTGACAGGCAGGAAGGGCAGGACGCAAAATAAGACATCCCTGCCTCTAACTTAAGGTCATGTCTCCTTCAGCTTTTATAGCGAACTTGAAAAATTCAATAGTTGTCACCAGGGGCCGCACATCAAATCCAGACCTGTCCCTTCTGAAATGCTTCATGGCACGAGCTCTCTGTCACCATGAAAACAAGCCCCATTATTTAGCTGAGTCCTGGCAGTCCCCCTGGGCGTGGCTTGCCCAGCCTGTCTCACCTCACTCTACCTGTCCCTGAGTCATGGGCACTACCTGCCTTCCCTGATGCCCACTCCAGTTTGTGACCCTTGACTGGAGGCAGAACAGCAGAGATCAGTGGGAATGGGTCCTGAGGTCAAATTGGACTCAATGCCCCCCAGCTTCTGGGTGCCTGGGAGAGGGGCAGGGGGAGGTTCAGGGATGGCTGAGCTGGTCCAGAAAACAAGATGCCCACCATCTTCCCACAAAGCCTTATGTAGCGCCTACTGTGTACCACCTTTGTACAAGGCACTATGGACACACACAGAATATTTGAGAAGCCCCTAAGGGCAGAGAGAGAAGAGCCAAACAGAATCTGAGTAGAAGGCCTCCCTGCTTCACTATGCTGGCGAGCCCCCACAGGTTGCTGTCTGTTTACCCTCTGTGCCCTGGGACCCCCATGGACTCCACTTTCGGGGTCCCCCTTCAGCTGACTTCTACCTGGGTTTGGCTGATGGTACATGAAAGTGAGAGAAAGAGAACTGGGGCATTTCTTCCCTGCTCTGAGGCCCCAGGGGTGGCTGCTTTCCCCCCATAACTACAGATCAACCAGTCACCACCCCTCAGGCCCCAGCTCTCACTGGGCTCCAGTGACATGGCTTCCTCCCCTTTTCCTCTTTCCAAGGATTGAAGTTGGTTGCTGCTGTTCTAAGAGCCTCATGATCTCCTATAGGTCCCCTGAACCTTGATGTGAAGAGCCTCTTCGTTACAATCTCTTCAGAATCCCACTCTCCGAGTCCAGGACCAATAAAGACACCACCCATAATCCAGGCCAATTCTTCATCTCCAGCCCAGCAACCCCCCATGTTTTTTTAACAACCTATTCAAACTGAATATACATAAGCCCACTCCCCACCTCCCCTTCTCCAGTCTTAAACAGGTTCCCAACTACTAGCTGCCTAGATGCTCCTTCTTCCCATCCAAATGCATCACTAACCTCTTCACACCTCTTCTCATTTTTACATGCTCCCACCTTTGGAACGTTGCTGAAAGGCCACCTAATAAGTCTTCCTATTTTCAAGTTCAACCTGTGGTTTATTCTTGCTAAAGCTTGAATGGGGGTCCATGTCTCCCCCGGTTCATAAACGTGGCCCAAGGCCCTACTGTCAACTGAATACATTCTGCACCTTTTATCTGGGCAATCAGGCCCCGACAATGCGGTCTCCTCATTTTGCCTTTAATCTGCCCCAGCCAAACTGGCACCCAGAAAGCTGCCTCCCTGCCCTCCCTCTCCTCAGCCATTTTTCAGGCTCCACTCTGTCCATAGTGTGCATCTTCAGGGTCCTCAGCCCTACGGCCTGCTGGCCACTCATCTGACAAAGACTTCAGTGGGCTGCCATGTTTGCTGTGCTTGGTCTCACAAATTAGATCTTGACGCCCTTCCAGAGAATGGGCATGGCATGGCTATTCCCACCTGGCATTCCCACAGGACTGAATGCCCGGTGCTGCTGATTAGATATGAGTAACAGACACCCCAGGTCTTGAGGTAGGAGCCAACGGATGGGGCCACCCACAGAGCATTGACCTCTCTGGAGGCCCTGAGACCTGGAAAGTGGCTCCTGATTACCCAGAAACTCCTTTGGAGGCCCAAGGAAGGAATCAGGGTGATATTTCCATGGGGACCATGAATTTATCCTCACTGCTGCTCTCATGCTTCCCTAAAGGTAGCACTAGTCCATCAACCACCCCGGTATCCTGCTCTCCCCCTTCCAGTCAGGATACTCAGAATGCAAAGGCCACAAGGGGCTGAGGAAGGCACTCACCTTGAGGTTGCCATCAGCTGTGATGCGCAGCCGGTTGCAAGTCCCACAAAAATGCTCAGACATGGACGTGATGAAGCTGACCTGGCCTTGGAAGCCAGGGATTTTAAAGGCCTGGGGTGGGGCAGGGAAAAAAGGGTAATGAAAGGGTGAAGGGATGAGCCCCAGCCTTTACTCCCTGACCTCAGCTCTCTTGAGGAGCTTTCTGAAGGAGAGCACCTAGGTCCTCCACCAACAGAAGACATTGACCTGACGGGCCGGAAGCTCTCCACCCAGGCCTACCCTGCATGAGAGGAAACTGGCTGAGGACACGGCTGGTGTGCAGCACGCCCAGAGGTGGCCACATGCAAGAGCAGGATGAGTGTCCTCCTGCCACTCACTCAGTGGCATATACCCCACGACAGCATGTTACTTGACCCCACCCCACCCATGCTGAGCCTGTGAAAGGGAGGCTGTGGCGATGGCACTCGAATGCTTCCTGCTTGTCCACCCAGCTGCCCTTCCAGCTCTGCTGTCTTCCCTGCCCAGCCCTGCCTTCCTGTACCCCAACCTTGGCTGTGCTGGATTCCTCCTCGGGCAGCTTCTCCAGCTCCGGCCACCGGCGCCGGAGGGTATCCAGCATCTCCTTATAACTGACCATCTTCTTGAAGTTCCACTTGTTGCCTGTGTTGGGGTGGAGTTACTAAGTTGGAGCTGCACCTAGTGTCCAGATGCATCCTCCCCCAGCCCAGGAACCACGTCAGGAGGCCCTGCCCACAAGGGTGGGTCAAATCACACCCACCCTCAACTCTGAGGAGCCCCTGATGCCTCAGGGCAGTGCTAGCCCTGAGTGCTATGCTTGACAATGTCCCTTCCCACAACCCCTGGAGAAAACACACACACACACAACCACGCCTGGCCAACTCCTCAGTCCTCCCAGGTTCCTCAGCAGCCACCAGGCCCTCCGAGCAGCCCTGGCTGGGCCTGCCAACACGCCCAGCCACCTTTGCCCTCCCCTCCCCTGCGGCACTGACCATCAAAGGGCATGTACTCTATGAAGCGCACGTCCAGGGGGAGGCCCTCGGTCAGGGCCACAAAGTCCAGAAGCTCATCCTCGTTCAGGCCTCTCATCACCACACAGTTTACCTGGCCAAGGCACAAAGGACCAGGAGGACTGTATCTCTCTGTTCTCTGGCACAGGTAACTTTGGGGGTCTTCCTATGCACTCCATCGGGGGTCCCATTCCTTGCCTCTCCTCTGCACCCAGTTCTCCTTACGTTGGGAGATCCCATGGGCTGATTATCCGCTCCCTTATGGGGCTAAGGTACAGGGCAGGAAACAAATGAGAAGGAAGTGGGGAGGGGTGGACACTACAGCCGCACTGGCCAAGGCTGGGAGCTGTCCTGGGGCCCGGGAAATGGTGGTGGAAGGTGAGCCTGGGGCGGGGAGAGGACATCATGGGCAGAGGCAGATCCTCACCTTCACAGGGCTGTAGCCTAGCTCAATGGCCTTGTGGATGCCCTCCATGACCTTGTGGAAGCCTGCAGAAAGGCAAGAGATAAGGATCTGAACCCCTCCCTCCTTTCCCCCAGCCCCACAGCCCGGGGGAAGGTGCCGAAGCTGCAAGGAGCCTGGGAGCCACACAGTCCAGAGGCAGCGAGGGAGGCTTGCAGGTACACCGGTAAAGAGGAAGCTACTTTACAGCTATGCCGTAAAGACTTCAACGAGTAAATTCAGAATGTGGTAGTAATTGAGGACATTGCTGGGTAACACAAGCCTATAAACAGAATGGGAGGATGGAGTTCTTTTTCCAGGGTAATAGGTTGCTCAGTTGGGGCTCATAGTGAATATTCCTCCTATTACATTAATCATGTTGTCTGAAAATTCCATTCTTGGCTCTCAGGCTATTAAAAGAACACACAAAAAGATTGTCAGTGGGTCATAGTGTGCTGACCCAGCTCTCTGGTGAACCCTGTCAGGACAGAGGGGGAAACTGAGGCCCAGAGAGAGGCAGCACCCTGCTGGAAGCTTCACTCTCCACCTTCCAGACACAGGTTACCTGACTGGCCTGTCAGGGCTTTCTCTCCAACAGCCACCTGCTCACCCCCAGTGACCTTGCGACTACCTACTGTGTGCAGGTGCCGTGCCACACTGGGGTGATCGCTGCTGTGCGGTTCTCACTATCTCTGTCAGTGTAAATGGGATCCCCAGTTGGCTTCTCCTTGCCCCCCCACCCCCCGCATGCACCCAAATGTGTGCGCAGCCACTGCATGCTGGCCCTGCCAGTTTGGTCACCATGGATGAGTCAGAGCTGGGACGTCACCCTGAGGGTGGGTGGCCCAGTGATGGCTTCCATGGTTCCCCTGTCATAAATCTGGATGGCCATCGATGAAGGGCAAAGGGAAAAAGCAGTTTACACAGACTGCTATTAGGAGATTCTAGATGATTTCTCTGCAAAGCAATCTCCCCCCTAAAGGAAGTAGTGAGCACACAAGCATGAATGGAAATGCAGGCCTGATGTTAGAACAGCCTGTCTCTGATCCTCTCATTCCAGGGGACAGGAAGGGTAAGTGGATGTGGGTATGGGGAGGGGTAAAACCCACCAAACATACTTTTCCACCTCAGAGACCCCTGCAGGCCTCCCCCACCCCTGTGAGCGCCCTTGTTTCAAATTCATTCCCCATCCAATTGTTCAAGGCCTGACATAAACGCCTCCTTCTCAGAGTCCTCCTGGACCCTTGTCTTCCTCTGCTGGGAGTTTCTCCCTCTCTGTTGCGCTTTAATGAACACAAGAAGAGCAAAGGTGGTTGGTGGCATTGTACCTTGGCCCTGCTAAGTCATATATTTCTGACCCCTCAACCGCAGCAGGAACAGCCCTTACCAGAGGGCACAGGCTCCAGAAGCTTCCTCAGTATGTGGATGGCCACATACTGGGGTAAGAAACCCCAACCCACAGTGAGGCACGAGATCTTGAGGCCAGGTCCAGGAGCTCTACTTCTCCCCCTCCCCCCACCCCCACCCCCAAAGAGCCAGCAGGAAGAGCGCTTGCTATGGGCTGAAAAAAGAGGCTTATTTTCACTATGAGAGCAGAAAACACCTCTGCCAGTTGCTGCAGGCCCCACTTGGCAGATCTGGCCTAGACCCCAGCACCTCAGGGTAGATGCTTCCACCCTGCCTGGCCTCACCTCTCTGCAGCAAAGGAAGGAAAGAGTGGCTTCTATACACGATGCTGTTGGGAGAGTCTGGAAGATTTTACTCTGTGGAGCGCTTTACCCTCTGAACTTGTCCTGGTTTGCCAGGGAATGCCTTGGTTTGAAAACAGAAAATCCTGTTTTGAAACCCTCTCAGTCTGGGCAGGTGGGGGGCAGAGTAGAGGGAGCCTGGTCACGATGGTTCTTAGTCTGTGATACCTAGAATCCCTTCAGGGTGAGATTACATAGGACGGGGCATGGCTGAGGGTTAGGGATGGGGACAAAATGCCCAGAGGCTCATCTGTAGCCTTGACACCAAGAGGAAGAGCCCGAGGCCCACATCTGCCACATACACACCCCAGCTGTGCGGCTCCTGGAGGGACACCCTTCCCCATGGGCCCCTTCTGATCACCTTTCCTGCGGACGATGAACTCAAACTTGGCTGGCACCAGCGTGTCCAGACTGATGTTGATGGCAGTGAGACCAGCTTTCTGAAGCTGGGGCAGCAGCCGGGCCAGGTTGATGCCATTGGTGGTGACGCCGATGGTCCTCAGCCCTTCCAGTTGGCGGAGCTGGGCTGCAGAGAGAACAGGAGGGGGTGTCAGCCTGCTTGTTCTTGTTGACATGGGAGATGAGCTGAGTCCAAATAGGATGGACTGAAAAGGGGTCCTCTGTGGCTCTCCACCTACCAGGTTTAGCTTTGCAAGAAAGCTAATAATAAAACCAACGATGACAAGCAAAGAGAAAACAACGCTCACTCTCCCTGGGGCTTGGCTGAGGGTCTTGCGTTAGCTCACTGATATCTCACTATGCTGTTATTCCCATTTAATAGCTAGTGACAGACAGGTTGTTCAGAGAGGTTAAGAGAAGTGCTTAAGCTCACACAGCTGGCAAGAAGAACTGAGATTCCAATCCACATGGACATGTCCTAGTGCTACACTTTAAGAACCTCCTCATCCTCCCTGACACTCTAAATAACAGGAAAGTATTTGGATTACATGCCAAACAGACTCCTCCATTCCTTCAATATGCTTCAAGATGGAAAGATTAATGAAGGATCTTTAATGACATTGGGAAAGCAAGCAAGAACCCATTCGGTGCACAGAAAGGAGGAAAAGTACTAGAAGAGAAGCAGTGAGGCTGGGATGGATGAAGGAGACCGCAGCTGAGAGTATAAGGCTCTGTACGAAGGGGGGTGACTAATGCGAAAGGAAATCAACAAGTGTGGGACAAAGAAAAGGCCTTGCAGAGACACAGTCAGTGGATCAAAGACAACAGCTGGGTAGGGCGACCAGAAGTCAGCGCCATTTGCTGTCACAAATCAACTGAAATCAGAAGTTTGTCTGGAACAGGTTCTCTTCCTTCCCATCTGACCAAACAGCCATTTCCTTATGGTAAGATCTTTTCATCTCCTAAGTTCTTGCCTTTCTTACATATAAATTACACTGACCAGAGATAATGAATTTAAGATATGTGCCCTACGCACTCTGGAAGTTAACTTATGACTACACAAAACCAAACCAAAACCAAAAGTCACCATACACAGCAAAAACCTAGCTCTTTGTTTCTGTCACATGCTTGTCTGGAATGGAATTTCTTTCTTTCTGAGCAAACCCCTCCTCTCAACACTTTATAAACCAAACCCTACCTGGGTCAGATAGAAGAAACAGCTGGACCCCGTTCCCATCAATCTCTTCATCTTTTGACCTAGAATACCCTTGTTTTGTGTATGCTCATAATAACTGGAATGAAAGTCTCTGGTCAGACAGTCACACAGACCAGAAGCCGCAGGCTCCTTGGCTCATCAAGGAGGTTGCCTGGCTGGGGAGTGGGGAATCACTCCTACCCCCATGATGGTGGGGGGAAGGCAGTACCATCTCACCTGAGACTGGGGTACTATGAGTAATGACTAAGACACCCCAAGGGGATAGGGGGTAAGCCCCGAATGGCTGTCACTCAGGGGACGAAGGCGTCTCAGGAACTAGCAGGACCTCGCATCCATTCTCTACAATTTTGAGGGTAGCAGGGTGAGAGGATTCACCAGACACAGAATGGGGAGCAGAACACACAGATGGACTGAAATACACTATGGGAGGGAGCAGCAGGTGAGACAGGAGAGGTCTGCTGCACCATGCGGGTCAGCTCCCTGGGATCAAATCCAGGTCATTAGGGGTGACAGTGCTGAGACTTAACCCCTATGGCATAAGGGAGGACCCAAGCATCTCCTGGAGGACAGTAACTGACTTTTAAAGACTGTCATCTTTTTTTGCGATGACATTCTTTAAAAGTCAGTTAGTATCCTCCAGGAGATGACTACTATACTTTGAAAACAAGAAAAAGAACAAGTAAGAATAATTGTAAAAACAAAACATGTGATAGAAAGTAAAAACAATGACAAAAGAGCCCTCCCTGGTGGTGCAACAGATTAGGATGCAGCACTGCAAGCTGGCTTCAGTGAGAGTTCAATCCCCGGCCCCGAAGGTGACCCACATGGTGCAGCAGACCTCTCCTGTCTCTCCCACTGCTCCCCTCAGCAGTGTATTTCGTCAATCTGCCTGTTCTGCTCCCCACTCTGTCTCTGGTGAAGCCTCTCACTACTCCTGCACTTCTGGCTTATATTCCAATTCTATATGAATAAAAAAATAAATCTTAAAAAGAAAAAAGAAATGCTGCTCCTGAAATTTAAAAATAATAATAATGATGATAAAAACCCCAAGGGATAGGTGAAGAACAAATGGACAAGGTGGACAATGGAGCAGAAGAACTGCCCCAAACTGAGGACAAAAGAACGAAAAAGAATGAGACTGAAATAAACACGTGATCGCAGTTAAATCCAATAAAATCTAGAGGCAAGAGATGTGTCAATGTCCACAGAGGTTATCTTTGACCTGTAGGATGAGAGATGATTTTTTAAAAAGATTTATTTACTTATGCATACAGAGATGGGGTACAGGCCAGAGGTGCAGGGTGGTGAGAGGGTTCACCAGAGACAGAGTGGGGAGCAGAACAGGCAGATTGATGAAGTACACTGCTGAGGGGAGCAGTGGAAGGGTCAGGAGAGGCCTGCCGTGCCTTGTGGGTCACCTGTGGGGTGGGGATCAAACTCAATCTGAAGTGGCTTTAGCTTCTCAGTGCTGTGCTTTAACCCGCTGCGCCACCAGGGAGGACCCACGAGAGATGATTTTATATTTACTTACCTAGAAATAAATTTTACTTCAAACTACTTAATGTATGAATCTCAACGAAGGGTCAGCTCTGCTCTGAAGATGCAGGCAGAAACAAAGAACAGTGCCCAGGTGAAGCTGAAGTGAAAGAAAAGGCAGCAGAAGGGGACAGGACAGACTGGGAGGACAGGACAAGATGGGAGACTGAGGTGACCTTCCTGGAGAGCAGTTCTGTGTCAACTTCAGAGAGCCTTCAACCAGATATTACACTTCTAGGAATTAAACCTAAATAAATAATCATGGATGTGAGCAATGTTTACCCACAAGGAAGTTTATCAGAGAGCAAATACACAATACAGAGAAGTGGGAAATCACCTGGAGTGCCAAAAAGGTCTGGCAAAATTATGCTTTTTCTGGGTGACAAAATATTATGCAACCAAAAATGACCTTAAAATATGTTAGGATGGGGCCCTTCCTGGTGGCACAGCGGGTTAAAACACTGCACTAAGATGCTTAAGCCACTTCCGCATGAGTTCGATACCCGCCTGCCCTGGAGGAGATCCACATGGCATGGCAGACCTCTCCTGACCCGCCCGCTGCTCCCCTCAGCAGTGTACTTCATTGATCTGTCTGTTCTGCTCCCCACTTTGTCCCTGGTGAATCCTCTCACCCTCCGCATCTATGGCCTGTACCCCAGTTCTGTATGAATAATCTTAAAAAAATATATATGTTGGGAAATACATATACTATATTAAGTCAAGAGAGCAGATTAAAAGCAGTGGTGAAAATTAGGTGTGAAGAAAGTAGGCAGACAGCTCACCAAACCAAACTGTTGACAGTGGTAATAACAGGGCAGGAGTAATAATCTTTTCATTTATCTAAATTAGACATGGATTAACATTATAGTAAGAGAAGTGAAACCTTAAAAATAAAATCACTGTTTTCAAAAGAAAGAATTTTACTCCGGGATTCTGACAACATGGAAAACTTAAAGAAGTTGCTGGCTCCCTCTGTCAAATTAACCCTGGAGAAACCCAGAATCCAAGAACTTAGGGGGAAAAAAAAAGAAAGAAAGAAACTTTAAGACGCTCATAGGAAGACTGATGGTACTTTTGAACTGGTTGAGGGAGGAGGATCATATCGGGGGGCGGGGGGTGGCTGAAGAGAATGTAAGCAGTTACAGGAAAAAGCAGGCCAGTAGAGTTCTATTCTCATCCTCACTCACTGATGCCTCAGAACAAACTTGCTTATCCTCTTAATGAAGAAATCAGAGGTCTCTGCCCCAGAGAAACGACTCTGCAGTTCACCTGATGTCAACTCAGAGAAGCAGCTACACCTGTGTAGGAAGAGGGGCTAAAGACAAGAGGTGGACACTGACCAGCTTCAGGCATTCATTCAATCCTCTCCCTGTCCCTCAAGTTCCTGGGACTGGTGGACTAAGAAAAATCCAGGGTGACTGGCTCCTTCTAAATCTGCTTCTTTTCTGTACTGCAGGTTGGAAGGTGAAGATCTCTAAGGATTGCCATATTACATAGTTTCAGGAGGCTCCAGTATCATCATGATCTAAATGAAGTCTCCTGGAGCTGTACAGTGCGTAACCTGTGCAATCCCACAGGGTAAGGCTGGTCACTGGAACTGACACACGAGTGAATAACTGTTATATCCTGGGGTCTTGAGACCCATGTACGTATTGATGACCTGAACATTTTTCTGTTGACTACTGTCATGTGCAATAGTTAATAACCTCAGAGGAATAAAGAATAGTTAATAACCTCAGAGGAATGAAGAATAGAATAACCTCAGAGGAATAAAGTCAGAAGAGCCTTGAGAAGTCAACAGCCTCCCCCCAAACAAAAACCTGTAAAATATTTACCAATGGAAGAAAACATTTTTAAAAGAGGCGAAGAAGGTAAATTAAACATGATAAATACACTATAAAGGGAATTAGGGAGGATATCTACAACATGAAATAACCCATTTCATAATTTGTTCATTGCAAAAACAAGGACTAGATGAAAAATAGTTGGTAAGAACACAATTGTGAAAAAAGAATAAAAGAAATCAGAAAACTAGTAATATGGACATTAAGGAAAAACTGGTGAATTAAAAGATTAAAGGGCTCTCCCAGGAAAAAAAGAGACTAAGAAATGAAAATGTAAATTAAGAGCTGTAGAGGCTAAAAGTAGAAGGGGCGACACTAAAAAAATAGAGGTCTCAGAAGAAAAACTGAAACAGCTGAAGAATAATGAAGAAAATTTTCCCCAAATTTAAAACAAATGGTTTAGTATTGAAAAGGATAATTTCATCAAATGAGGTATATTATTGTAAAATTTAAGAAAATCAGTTCCAAAGAAAACATACTAGTAGCTTCCAAGGGCCAGACCAGATGGAGCTCAGACTTCCCAACAGCAGT